GATGCGTAATAAATTTCACATTTAAGCTACCCACTGCAGTCAGTGGTTTTGTGTTTATTTTTCTGAATTTACATTGGCAGGTAATTGTATAATTAAAACTTGATTTAAGCAGCATGCTCATTTCTGTAATGTGTAATATATTACTTTTTTGCTTAAAAAGACAGTGCTGCCTTAAGGCTTTACTTTCTTTTGTGAAGAAAAACTTAATTTGTGAAAGATGGAGTGACTGTGTGTACTGAAATAAAAGATATTGTGGAAAGTTTTGTTAGGTGTAGTAATGTGGTGCCATATCATAGAGAGCCTTAGCATTCAAAAATTGGCAAATTATTTCTGGCATGCACAGGGCATGAAGTTTAACAGACGGCTTGTATTCTTTTATACATAAAAACTAATAAAAAATGAAAGTTGATTACTATTTTCATATTGGGTGCTATTTAAATAAATTGAGCTTTTATAGGTTCAGCTGAATCTTTGTTTTTATATACTGTGCTCTTTATGACGGCCTCTGTATTCAGTTCTCCTGGAGGATCTCAAACCTTGTTACAGTCAGCTCCTTCCATCAGTTTATTTCCATTTCAGGAAGTTGTCCTCTGCAATGTTATTTTTCTCACCCTAGCAGACTTCAGTTTCTTACTCCTAATGTTAAAATAAGGTTATAATTTTATATTGGTGTTTTGAGCAAAATGGAGGCTCCCCATTTCAGGTTAACAACCATCTGGTTGTGTTTCAGGGCAGGTGTTTCTGAAGTAAATGTTTATCTAACTGTGGTCTCAGTTATCTGTTGGCAGTGCTTTTGTTGGAAAAGGAACAACAGAGTTCTGTGAGTGGGGCAGCTTTGCCTTGCCCTCTTAACTCACGTTGCAGCTGATAGATAAGACAACCTAGTGCTGTCTGGAGGTCTCTCTGACCTTACATACACAACATTCTTATGGCTTTAAATGTACCTTTATGTGAGAAGCTGAAGTTAGACAGAGGTTGGTGTGCATCTGGCGTTCTTCTTTAGGGCTTTCTCTGTTGCCTCTATGACCAGGTTCTGGGTTTTTGAGTGCCGTTATTATTGGCAGTCATTTATCAGTTTAAGGGGTGACTGTACAGTTAACCTTCATCGTGTTGTGCACTGGATGTGCATGTTAGTATATGGTGCAGATGTTAAATAACTGCTAGCACGAGCACTGACACAAGGGTGTCTGCATCTTGCTTCCCGGGCCTTGGTTTGGAGAGGATTTCCAAAAGGAGCCAAGTGAAAGACAGATTGCCATGCTGTCTCTTGTGAGCACAAGATTATGGCTGTGCAGTAAGGAAGAACAGAGAGCGTTGGGTGTGGATATTGTAAGGTTAAAGGCCCAACTGGAGTATCAGAGGCTTTATTACACCAGGTGTGGTGCAGCTGAAACATGTTTTCACTGCCTTCAGGCTGAACTAAGGCACTGTTAGGCAACTCATAAGCTGTGTAATGGAGGTTGTCTGCTTGCATTACTAGGCTAGAAGAGAAGGGAAGAAGGAGGGGGTGGGATGGGGAATATGGTACAGCTCCCACCATTGCCTGAACTACCTTTAGAGTCAGAATAGTTTCAGTTCTAGCACTGTTGTGTTGGACCCAAACTGATTTCTGCAGAACAGATGGAGTTGTCAGGTCTTAAAATCTGTTAGGTCTGCTGAACTCCTGGTGTGAGGTCTGCATGATGTTTATCCAGACAGAATTTCTAGGATTGGTTTCTAGAGCACCAAACATTTACATCATAGAGATTCACATTTTGTAGACTGAAAGGCTGTTACTGTTTGCCATAAAATTCCCTCATTTTATTTGACTGTTTCCAGTCTCTTCATCTGTCAGGGCTGGTAGGAGTATGCTCATACAACTGTGTATTTCTTTGTTTTTCTGGGCCATAATGTATCCAGTTTCACTTTGCAAGATCATTGCTTCCTGTACTCCCAGACAAGGTCTAAATTCTCTTCTTGCCTTTTTCTGCTGTGGCAGAATAAGTTCCCTTATCCATTTAATAAATACAGAGTTGACATACATCAATTTTATCTGAAGACTTGATGCAGTATTTGTCTTACCCTGCCTTAGATTAATCTTCTATGGCTAGAAACAAGCAGTTAAGTCTTCTTGTAACTTGTGAGATATGCCTCAATCTGTGATGCAGGTTACTCTTTATAGATCTGCTCCAAGACTGAACTGTGGGGAAAAAAATGGCAGTGTTGTCTCTGTGTCTGTAGGAAAGACCTCTAAATCAGCCTGTTCTGGTTTCTTCCTGGCATTTTCTATTTTTCTACTCCAGTCTCTCATTCATACCTCACGTCTGTTTGGTACAGCGTACTATACAAGGTTTGGAAATCTAAGTGCCATAGTAAATGCTAAGATAGTTAACGTTTTAACAAGGTGTATCATTGGTGAGCATGATACTGAAAGCGAAAGTTTATTTTTGCAGGATGGGGTGGGTTGAACATCTCAGGAGGGGTCATTTGGAGAAAAAAATCAAACCCCTCTATGAGCATGTTATTTTATATGGTACATAACTGGGTTTACTGTTACTGCTTACAGTTACTCTAGGAACTGCTTGTAAATAGAATGAAAACGGGGGCGGATGGATGGAGACTTTGGACTCAGGCAGATGTTTTCAGATATACAAAGAAGAAATGAAAGTGAAAAATATGTCTAAATGCTGATGTTTGGGAAATAGTTTCAAGAGGGAAGAAGAGTAATTCGTCTTAATCTAATGCTCTGATTTGTACAGAGTTATAAAACAGCCCAGGTTATGTTCACGGGGGGCTTATGTGTAAAAGTATTCTTTTAAAAATTATTTGAGTATTTTACTGACTTAAATTTGCTAGTAGTAACCCAGTGTTAAAGGGCAAAAATTCTTCCAAAGTTGCATTCACAGTTGAATTTACACAGAAGTAAAAAAGACAAACCTTTAAAAATAGGTTTGTTTTGTCTATGGGAAATACCCTCCTTTTTGTTATCATTGCTGTTTGTTGAACTGAGGAAAGGCCGTCTGGTTTCTGTGCTTACACAAGGTGATCTGGTGTGCAGTGTGATTGGAGTAACTGTCCAGCTGGGTACTTATTCTGGACTGAGTGGCTGTGTGTGGTGTAACTGTAAGGTACTGAAGTACTAGATGTGTAACTGAAGACAATTACAAACGGGTTCTGTGCATGTATAACTGCAACTCAACTTTGAGGAACAAACTTGAGCTAACCAAATTGTAAATTAACCAAACTGAAAAACCAGCAATGCTTGTGAAGTTGTATGGTAATGCATTTGAAGTTGGATTCATCAGCTGTGTTACAAGCTGGGCTATGCTAAACCACAGCAAATAGTCAAAACCTCCAACACTGAACATAAAACTCTTTCCAGACATTAATCCACTTGACTGATACAGCTGCTGGAATTGCTTTCTTTTTCTGCACAGCAGCCTGTACATCTTGTTTAAAGATTGCCACTAATTGTGCAATGAGATCTTCTACAAACATCTTAAACAGGCCACAGGTGAAATAAATCTTCCTTTTACTGCAGAAGTATCCCCTTGTGAAAGCAGGATGCTTTAAGCAATTGGATGCATTCTGTTGCGTGAATGTTTGAAAAAGGTGTTTGTATCTCATGCAGCGTGCTTTGGAGTTATGAGGTTTCATTCTCAGAGGCCTGGGGAAAGTCTTAACTGTTGTCTTTAGTTGTAAGGCATAAACTGAAGTTCTCAATGAAAAAGAGCTTGGAGTAAACATTAGAAGTTCATTCTGTTTCTTGTGTTCTTATTCCCTCTGACGTATTTTATGAATTCAGAGGTGTCTTTCTACAGTTGACTGATTTTGCTAGTCTTTATATCTGTGAAACTAAGAATCCATAGCCATTTATTTGTGTGCAAGTAATAAAAGCTCTGAATCAGACTAGATATTATGAATTACGTTTACAGTCAAACTGAGTACTGAAATAATTGTGACCTTCAAAGGATTGTTTGTGAGATAAGTGACCTATTACATAGGAGATTTGATGCATGTATTTATCAAAAGGAAAAAGTAGTACTTTTCCAGCTTGTATGCAACAATTCTTGGCAGTATTTTTTCTAGATGTTAAAGAAGTGTTAAAGGCTAGTATTAAATTGGGTTTTGCAGTAGTTCAAGCTGATCTAAGCTAGAACTCAAGTCCTATATTCTTCTCAATCGTGTATTCTGCATCATATCTGATTCTTGTACCAGAGAGCTGAGCCAATTAGAAAGTTAATTGCTTTCCTAACTGTGTGTGTGTGTTGATTTAACTCCCTGAACTGACTTGTTATAGAATGAGGCAAGTCGGTGTGTTGTAACCAGAAGAAGGAACCAAAAATGCTTATGTAGGGGCAGGAGCATGGCAGCAAACAGCACCCTGTGATTTAGGTGTTTACGCTGTTGGATGGTGACTGTTGTGCAAATAGTGCACTTCCAAGTACATAATAAAAGTCACATACTCCTAAACGGCTTAACAGCAACTCTAAGCACCGTGTTAATGTTCAGGTTGAAGGTATCAGCTTCCTTCACTGCTTGCTTGCTTACAGGTGATATTAGTCCTCATAAATTTGATGTGTAAATGAACGCATGCATTTACTTGCATGCTCTGACAGTATAGTCCAGTCTGGAAAGCCTAAGCATTGCTTTCTCCAATGACTTAGGAGTGGTTATGTGTGAATCACGGAATGGCCAGAGTTGGAAAGGACCTCAAGGATCATGAATTTCCAACTCCCTGCCACATGCAGGGCCACCAACCTCCACATTTCATACCTGCCGAGGCTGCCCAGGGCCTCATCCAACCTGGCCTTGAACACCTCCAGGGATGGACGGGGCATCCACAGCCTCTCTGGGCAGCTGTTCCAGCACCTCACCACTCTCATAATAAAGAACTTCCCCCTGACATCAAACCTAGATCTTCTCTCCTTCAACTTCAAACCATTTCCCCTTGTCCTGCAGTTATCTACCCTTTCAAAGAGTTGACTCCCCTCCTGTTTGTAGGCTCCCTTTAGGTACTGAAAGGCTGCACTGAGCTCACCCCGCAGCCTTCTTTTCTCCAGCTGAACAAGCCCAGCTCCCTCAGCCTGTCCTGGTGGGTGAGGTGCTCCTGCCCTCTGAAGGCACATGGTAATCTCAATCTTCAATTGAGATTTAACCAGAGCACTGGTTTCCCTGCAGTGCACTTTGCTCCTCTGAAACACAGATAGGTCTGATTAAGTATAGATATTTTTTTAATTTACCTGGGGGGCTGGGTAGGGAGGGCTTGCTGCCCTTTACAGAGTGGGTGTTTTCTTACTTGTGGTGTTAGATGTTAGCAATCCAGAACAGTCCAGCTCAAAACCCCGATCATATCTCATCTATCAGTTCTACAGAGCTCCTATATTTTCCTTTTGTTTGTTTTAGATGGCTGCCTGATAACTGTATCTGCTCATCTCAGGTGAATATTTACTGATTTAGGAAATCAGTCCTTTAGTTTTTCAAATAAAAGTCTGAAGGTTTTCTTACACTTACATGGATTAGGTGTCCTGTTTCAAACCAACAAAACTAATGTAGGATTACTTAGGTTTATGCATCATGTCTGTAGTTATTTTTGCACTGGCTTATTTTGGCCTTTCTGAGATATTGCCTTAAATCTGCACAGGTTGGCTTGACTTGCAGGAAGCCCCTGAGTGTTTCACTGTGGTGTCAGCTGATTGTGACACGTGGAAGGGTTTGCCATAGTACAGCCAAACTACTGTGAAACTGTTGAAGAGGCTACAATGCTCCTTTCTATTCTTGGTTTAAAAGTGACTACAGAACAGGACCCCGTGTTTCAAAAAGCTCTTCTGTTGTTATTTGTAGGGTGGTTTTTTTGCTTTGTTGTAGCCAGCTTTAGCTGCAACCTGGAAACGAGGGGCTTCAAGGAAAGCTGAATGGAAAATAGTAACCATCTTCATACATAAACTCCTGCAAAAGAAATCGTGACTTTTTTTCCTTTTCCTTTTTACGCATGGTGGTTCTGCAACGTTTTTTGATAATTTTTCTGTTTTATAATTAAAAAATACTAATTTAAGACAGTATTTTAAAAGAAATGTCTTGAATTATATTCTGCTGGTAGGTCTGACAGAACGATTAGTAATGCTGACAAGTATTCCTAAATACTGTAACTTTTTCAAATGGTGAAGTTGAATCATAATGGAGAACATAAGCAACTGTTGTCTAGTAGAATATTTGTAATAATTAACAAAAATAAATTGGGACAGGGGAAGAAGAGGATTCACTTCTGACAGTGATATGAAGTTCATGTTTGTAGCTCACTTGGGCTCACAGCATTTGCTGTCCCCAACTTATTCTTGTTTTAATATCACCTAGTGATTAGTGAGCTGTAACAACACTTAGCTGGCAGCTTACCTTCCTGCAGTGTAATACTTCTGTTTATTTCTTCACTGAGGAATTTATAGTGAAAATCATTAGTACCTTGGATTTTTACTCTCACAATGTCTGCTCAACAGAAACAGTATTTGCTACAGTGATACCTGTTAGTTTTACGGGAAGTTGCACCTCTGTAGTGTTACATGTTGTAACATCCTAGTTGTCCTCTTTCCTTTTTAAAGTGTGCAGTGAAACCTTTGGTGGAGAAGAGTATCACTTCTCTCTGTCCTGTTTATCACCTTTTTAATGGTCACAGCTATATACTGATCTAGATCCAGCATTTCAATATTAAGAATTAAAATGATTTCTTTGAAATTAATCTTAAAACTGACCTTTTTTTTTTTCTTTTTAGAGTATTCTGTAGAGTAATCAGTCACCCTCTCACAATTCAGAATGGTGTATTGCAACTGTAAATATGGAGTAAACTTGTAAAATTTCTTGGGAGGGGTTTTATAATAATAAAATAAATGCAATCAATGCTTCTTATTAGTATGTCTTGGGACAAACAAATGATGTGATTTGGGACTACTAACATGTACCTGAAAATGAAGCAGGTTCAGAAAGTAGATAGCTTTTTCGGAGTACAGATTAGAACGTTATTTCCCATTTTATGCAAAATTCATGCAACTTATGCTTGTTACAACCATGCATGTAAAGCTTACGTGAATGGGATCATCATAGACAATCTATTTTCATTTAACTATTAAATCTAGTAGAAGTACTCTATGTTACTGAAACAACCCACTTTTACAGCATAAAGCCTGATATCTGGAATGTTACTTTGTGTGAATGTTGTCATTAGCTTGATGTTGTAGCTGGGATTGTATTTGAGAAACTCTACCTGTGATCTCTTATGTCTTCTCTTTAATTTTTCTAGGCTGCTGAATATGTCCCGGAAAAAGTGAAGAAAGCTGAAAAGAAATTAGAAGAGAATCCATATGACCTTGACGCTTGGAGCATTCTCATTCGAGAGGCACAGGTTTAGTGACATAGGATTACATTTCCTTATCTATGGTCCACTCACACTATTTGGTTCTGGAGTAAAATCAGCATATTTATTTACATAAGTTATAATATTGTAAATGCTGTTTTGATTTTCAATTTTTAGAATCAACCTATAGACAAAGCACGGAAGACCTATGAACGCCTTGTTGCCCAGTTCCCCAGTTCTGGCAGATTCTGGAAACTGTACATTGAAGCAGAGGTTAATATTTTAACATTCTTTCTTATATAACATTTAATAGGAATTTAAGTTTACACTCTCATATTCATAAATAAGATAGGCACATAAAATCTAGGGGAAGGTGGGATTTTAAGTATATCTTGCATTTATTTTGTAAAATAGGTACGAAGGAGTAATTAAAGTGAATTCTAAAGTACTTGGGTCTTTTATGAGTTGATGATTGTTGCATTATGGAATTGCAACAACATTAAAACAGTTTCAATGGTATTGGAGTGCTTTAGCCTTTTCTTTACTTGTCGTGTCAATTTATTGCCTCCCGTGTCATTTATTTAGAGGACATTTTTTTATCCATATCTACAAACTTATTTGAATGACTTTCTGTGAATGCTTGGATCTTTTAATCTTTTCTTCCATAGAGAACTAAATATTTCTATGAGTATTGTGTTCAGGGAGGGTGTGGGATGGATGCTGAAATCTGGAATGGATGGAAAAATGTGTTAGCACAACTCATTAGCTTCTAGAGATACCAACAAAGTTGGGGTTATTTACTTATGTAAAACAGCAGCATTTGTGTTGCCACTAAGTGCAGTGAGCATGTAAACAGGGTGATGTGCTGCAAAATCCACTCTTAACATGGCTATTTTTTTAGTTTCCTGTAACTGATATATATATTATTTTTCTTTACCAATACACATTTTTAATGGGCATCTTTTAGCTGCACGTTTCTCTTGAGTCAAATCTTCTACCTGCTACACAACAGTGGTGGGGTCCCGGGTTTCATAAATTAAAAACTGAGATAGTTACTTAAATTCTATTTCACGTGAAAACTGGGGATCAGCAATGAGTGGCAAAACTGCATGGTATAGGTGTCCCGACTTATTTGACATTAGATTACATATCCAAGAGTATCCTGGCAGTTCTGAAATAAAATTGGGATCATGGGAACATAACAGAAAATTGTATGTTGCAGTTCATAGCAAAATGTAGTAGTACAACCTAAAAAGATTAATATACCTAATGAAACACCCTTGAACTTGCACTGCTTTGTTTCTGCTCGTCTGTGGTGTGTTGGTGACTGGACATATCTGGGGACTGTGAATGCACTAACACATTTAGATGTGAATTTTTCCTTTTGGGACCCTACATCCAAATCTGTTAGCCTCGTACCCTGCATAATTTGCTACAGAATCTAATCTTTAGAATATTAACTTAGTTTGAGGATTACATGGAACTCTGTCTGATTTCTGAGGGATTTAGGTAGGACTTATTTGAAACTGGTATCTTTCCTGTAACTCAGATTTAAGAGGTGAATAAGACCACCTCAGAAAGTCTGTGCTACGTGGTAAATCTTTCATCAGAAAGTACCTCTATCAATATGAGGTTTCTTGTCTGAGGCTTGTCTTGAATGACAATCAGAGATTAAATGGCAGACATTACCTTCCATAATCATTCTAATTTATAATCAGTACTGTATACAGATACAAATGGTGACAAGGCTTAAGCAGTCCAGGATATAATTCATAAGTGCTTCTTCAAGGAACAGAGATAAGCTGCTATCCAGCTCATATGTTAACCATGTAAAACAAGGTAAACTTGAGGAAGAGGCAGTTGGCATTAAGATCATTGTCACATGCTTGTGTGCATGTGTATCTGTCTGCAACTACGCTTGAAATATAAGAAAAGTAGAATATATTATTCTGTTACCAAAAAAGAGGATAAATGTGACTTGTGGAGTTCTGATAAAGGTTGCGCTTGGAAAGAGTTCTATCTGAAAGAAATGGAAGAGGTTATACTTCAGAAACTTAACTAATGAGGAGATTTTTTTTTAAAACTCCAGTTAATACTTAAGTTTTCAACTGTAGTGGTTCCAGCAACTTTTCTCAAAATTCATGAAGTTACTGATATAACTGATAAGCAACATGCTTATAGCTACCTTTTTTCAATATATCCAACCATTTATAGCTTTAAGATGAAATAACTTCCTATTTCCAAATTCTTCTCTGAAAAAACTCGCATAATTGTGCACTGTTTTCAGTGTTAAAGTTGTATGTGTCCAGTACTGTTGAAGTAAATGCAAAACAGTATTTTCTCAATGTTCTTTTAACAGTGTGAATACAAATCAAATTTTATAAGTTTGCTGCAGAAATTATCTGGACGCTTCTTTAATTGCAGCTTTAGAATGTACAGGGAGTGTATTTCCCCAAAGCTGTATTTCCTTGGAAATCTTAGTGTTCTGCTGTTGAGTTTCTCTTGAATACGTCTCTTTCCAGCCTTGAGTTGGGAAAGTAAACTTCTGGTAGATCTTTGTTTAGCATTGCTTTTGATTCGCTTTTACTTTCGTGGGTATTTAAATCTGGAAATTGCTAAATCTTCAGTTATCTGTGAGTTGCATCTTTCCTGATGTCAAAACAAGCGTATTGCTTTCCCCTTTAACATGATAACTTATTTCCTCTTTGCGTCACAGAGAAAAGGAGAGAGGAAAGTGGGAGCTGTTTCTGGTGTGTTGTCTTTAACTGGGGAGTTTTGTCCACTGAACTACCTAAGTTTGAGATAAATATCCTTACATTGTGATGTTCTATTACTGGGAGATGAGTTAGGGTAAAGGTTATGGTTGTGGCCTTGTGAAAAAGATTTAGCCTTTAGCATATGTTCTTTATAACATTTGTAGAGATCTCTGAATTTCCCTTTGCCTATCTTGAGGAATGCAATCTTTTTAGTTGCTTCCAATCTTTGGGCAGAAATCATCATTTATAAGATACACGAACAAAACCTTGTCTTGCATATGCTAGTTTATTATGTAATACAAAACTTAAGTGCAGACCTTACTGCTGTGGTTACTTCTTTTTATGACAGTGATACTCACTATTTTCTTCTTCCATATGGCTTGGTTTCCTAGTGAAATAGGTTGTAAAGCAGTACTCAGCACTTAGTATACCATCTAACTTATTGCCATTCATGTACAGACCTTGCTGAAGTAACTGAATAGCTTGTGTTTCCATTTTATATGCCAAGAACTGACTGAAATACTCTGTTCTCTCCTATGACTGGTGGTCAGTCAAACTTGGAGATGAACTGGGGAGGGTGTGCTTTGACGGTTGGCTAATAAGAGTTATATTAAAGTTGGAATTGGTCAAAAAGAAATGTTGACTCTGAGACTGGTTCTTATCACTTCTGTGTCCTGCATCTGCTTATTTTAATATCAGAAATAGTCTAATTGGATAAAAAGTCTGGCAGCTCACAGTGTTGTGAGGTCACAGCATGTAATTCTTGTGAGAGTAGTTTGTTTTAGTGGATTAAACCAAGTGGTCTATTTTTATACACTTTGGCAAGTAGAAGTAGTTAGCTTGCTACTGTATTTAGCATCTCCTAAAATGGAGGAATTAGAGCAGTAATGTTACTCTTGATATTCAGGCTGTTTTCTTCAGTTGTTCAGGGCACGTTTTTTCTCTTGATACCTTTTCCATAAAAACCTACTTACAAAAACTTGAATCAATTCACATCTCAGTGCCTCTTTCATGGTTTTAAGAAGGGTCACGTAAGTCTACCATATGTGCTATAATGTTAAGTTCATAGATCACACAATCTGGATGCTAGCCTGCTCTGCTGATTTGCTCTGACTTCCTGGGTAAGTTATTGAACTGGTTTTACCATGATTAAAACACTGATACCTACCTACCTCACAGGGTTGTTGTGAGGCTTATTTTAAATGATTAAAGTGCTTTTGGCATCTGGCTACAAGGTGCTGCACAAATGTAAAAAATAATAATAATAAATTCTGTTATAATACACCCTATGATTCTGTAGGCCCAACTGTCTATTACTGTTTCTTCTGTCTCTTTGACTGTTTAACCCATCTTTTAGATGCAGAAAGATCTGATAATGCCTTTCACTTTCACTTCACTGGTGGTGTAGGTATTTCAGTAGTTCCACAATAAGCATTTGACACTGTTGCCTTTTTTACTGCTAGTTTTCGCTGTGAAATCACAAATCTTTTCAAAGCACACTTATTAAACCATGTTCATATATTTGCAATGCTTCCCATGAATTTTTAGTTCTGTCAGGTTATGTGCAAACTTTAATCTGTAACTGTCCTGAATGCTTCAGGCCAGTTCACACCACACCTTCTTACCTTTTCTGTTGTTGAACATAACTTCTTATATCCTGGTCACTTTGAATTGTTGTTAGTAGATGTTGAAAGGTTGCTATAATTAAAGATTTAAAAAATCAGAAGCACAAAACAGTTGTGACAAATACCCCCCAAAACTAGAAACAATAAATACAACACTAGTAGCATGCATGTCAAGTGTTTGGCTGTTGATATGTATTTTTTGTTCTGCAATTTTTTTCAAATAAGCCTCCTGTGTTACTGCATGTTCTAAAGAAATGCAACTAGATATATTTGTTCAGATAACTTCTATCTGATATGAACATTTTGAATTTTAGATGTCTCAGTAAGAAAACAAGATGCTGTATGATGTTTCAGATGGTTGGACCGAGGCTTAGGGTTGATTTGTTTTGCATTTCATCAAATGCAATACATCAGTATCTTTAATTCATGTAATGCACACTGGTGTGGATACTAGTCAGAATGTATCATTTAACATACTTGTATATGAAAAATGTAAATAAAACCTTTTAGAAAAAAAGATTGTTTTTGTTTAAAATGTTTGTGTTTTCTTCAAAGCATTTGCTTCCCCCGTTTTGCTTTAATTTGTTTCCAAGTTCAGAAAAAATGTGATTACTTATGCATATCAGTATACTTCTCCTTGGGGTCAAATGGGAACTGACGTCTGTCAGGATGAAGTTGGAGTGATCAGAAGTCAAAGTAAAATAGACTTCTTGGCTGAGATTGTTTAGTGGTACTTCAAATTGAAAAGATTGTATACATCCCTAGCCAATCTTTGTAAACTTCTTAATGGAAGATATACACGTTATAAACCATGCTACCCCTCCCTGCCTCCACTATTTTACTGCATTTCTTATAGTAAACTTCTAATTCTGAGAAATTGTTGTACAGGTGCTCTGTACAAGCATCCATATGGCACATTCTTGACTACTTCAGTCTGAGACTTTTTTTTACAACTGTATTTATGATCTTTTCTTATCCATCTGTGGACTTGTTCCATTCCTGTTAATAAATGTTGTTCTGTCTGTGTGATTATTGTAGACTTGCACTAGAAATTACATGCAGCTTTTCTGTCTTTTCTATTCAATATGTAATTACAGACATGTATACCTTGCGTAGTTGCTGTGGTCCTACAAGTTGCGGGATATCAAAGTCACACATAGTTGATAGTTTCAGATTATGTGTGGTACAGTAATAGTGAATTTTTATTTAAATGTTTGTTCAATCATAAAAATAACATCATGGGGGAAGAGTTAGGAGTTCTAATTTCTGAAGTGGGAGCGAAACCTGATGAAGAGATGACCATGAACCCTCTTGAATACGTAGTGTGTTGCTGTTCTCACATGAATAAACATGGACTGCTTCTTGTTCTGTCATATTCTTTCCAGGTGGGGTGACAGAAACATTCTTATCAGAAATACTAGTTTATATAAAACACTTCTTCACAATGCTTTTGAAATCTCACTTTCAAATCTATTGAAGACGGTGAAAACTATTTTTTATTGTGTGCTTCTTTTTTTTTTTGAGGTTGTGCTTATCCTTCCACTCATGTTTTTGGGCTGCGGGGGATGTATGCGTGTCAGGTCAGGCACAATCTTCAGCTGTTTTCTTATGTCAACGTGAAAGAACCTACAGTAAATACAGAGCTCTCCTATGGATCCTGTGTTAGCTACAGATCGGTTATTTTCATCTTAATTGATGAAGGAGGTATAATTTCAAGTAGTCTATCATGAGTTTGCATTCCTTCTTACATCTCTTCCAGCAGTCAGCTGGTTGAGTTACCTGTTGTTCTGTCTTGAGATTTTGAGAAGCCCGATGGCCGTGAGAACACCTTCTGCTAAACCTTATCTCATAATGCTGAGGCATGAAATAGCGCTTGACTTTTATTTGTTCCAGGATATCTTTGCAGACTGTGAAAGGGCTTTGAGTCACTGCTGCAGTGAAAGGTAGTGGCTTCTGTTAACTGTCAACTTCTGTGAAGGCAAGTCATTAACTCCTGCATTCCTGTATGCTGTTAGTACATGTTGCACTGTTGTTGTTTTTCCTTCTTACGATATGCTTTTTTCTCCCTGATAGTTTCAGTGTTATATGTCCGATAATGAATTTGGAATTCTGCAACATATTGTTGTGGAGACAATACTGTGAGCTTTGATGTTTGTCCTTTCTTACATAAAAGAACTCAGAAGTGAGAAGAAATGTGCACAGCATGCATTGGTACATGACTACCATTGCACAGAAAACATTCAAGCTTTTTTTTTGTACATCATGTACGTGCAATTACCTACATGCAAGAAACTCTTAAAGTGATCAGAATCTGATTCATATTGAGGTTTAACTATAATTTTGTAATAACAGATGTTCATAAAAGCATGGGAACATTTGCAGAGATCAGTGGAACTATTCTGTTGGAAATATCTCAGTTTGAGGATAGGCATTTTGAGTAGAATGATGCTCTTATTTAGTTCGTGGACAGTTCTCAGTAATACTGTTACAGAAGTCTTAATGCATTTAGATATGAGACCACACCAAAGGGCCCACTTCTAACCTGAAGTGTGAGTACTGGATCGGGCTTCAGGTCCGTTCTCTTGGAAGTACATTGCAGTAAGCCCTCTGACCCACATGCTGATATTAGTTTTCATGAGTTCCAGTGAGCACGTGTTACTGCTTACAAATTAAGAAATGTGCTTTAGTAGATCCTGTAACCAGAGGCTTTGTAGACAGGCAGCCAGACTGAAAACCTTCACATGGGGGGAAAGCTAGAATTGCTGGGGGATTGTGGTGATTTTATTTATGCTTTCACCTTTGATGTCTTTCAGCAAGACAGTTATGGGTTTATCTAATTTGTATAGGCTTTAACAGTATGAATTAATTCAAGCTTTCCTCTGAATCAACTGATTTTAAAAGTTCAGCCATATGATGATGGGTCAGCCATCTTACCTTGTTTGGTTCCTATAATATGACTACATAAAACTTTCTAGTGGGGACAGTGTGCTCTCTTCATGTCCCCTATGGTTTGCATTAGCTTGTGAAATAGAAAACAAGAAATAACCAGTGTGAAACCAGAAAGAACCAGTACATGCTTTGAAATGTTAATCTGTGAGCACAGCAGAACAAGCTTACTGAAAAACATGCTGATTGATTAATTCATTTTTCAAATACTTTTGAAGTCATGCATTTGAATTAGAAAGACGACTTGTCTCGTTATGTAATGTAGTACTTTCTGGATCCAGACTGCAAGAAACGTGCTGAAGTTAGCAGGAGGACTGCCTTCACTGTGCTCAGCAAAGCTGCATTTTGTATGTAAAGCTAAGTATGTTTTAAATTTTTGTAGCATGACCTAACAGGAAGGACAACTCAGCTGCAGCTCAGTCTTTGTTCCCTTTTCCTGAAGAAGAAGGGAGATGCCTTGTCAAAGAACAAACATTTATAAATCTTTTTCCCCTGTTCTACATCTTTTCTTTGTTTCCGATGTATAGGGAATAAAATGCATAACAGTTACATTGTTGGTGGCATTTTATAGTGTATGTAAGGCTTCCTATTAAGTTCTCATTTAATTTAAGAATTAAGCATAGAAGGAAACCTATACTAGTGAACTGTTTCTTCTCTGTCCTCCCCCTGCCACTGAGGAACTAAGAGTTGCATATTTGAATTTATTTTTCAGAATGATTTCAAATTTGATTTGAATTAGTAATTGACTTGTCCTACTTTAACAGTGTTACCGTTTCTCTCAGATCAGCTTTCAGGCTATATGAAAGGGAGGAAACAAATGCATTTGGCTTCTCTCATTTTCTGTATCCCTATGGCTTCTTTTGAGAGTTTGGTCCCCAGTGTATGCGTACATTTATTTATTAACTAAATGATGGGTCACAAGTCATCAAAAAAAGCATACTCTGTATTTCAGAAAAAACTAAACAAACCAAACAAAACTGAAGTAACTGCCAAAGTCAATATTTAGAACTCGTTTTCAAAAATGGGATTATTTTAGTTGTCCTGGCTAAATTAAAACATAGTATAGCTTATGGGTATTCAGGGTTGTGTGGCTTCCAGAAGGCACTTCCAACTGAAACTGTTCTGTGTGTTTGTAATGCACACTTCTGTGAGCACTACTCATGTTCTTTTAACGTCATACTGAACAGAAATCTGAGTGAATGAGCAGATCAGTACAAATTGGCTGCAGATAATGTACTTATGTTACTGAAAAATTTATAGCTGCTCATACAACTTAGAAAAATGATTATATATAATATTAAAGTTGAATATATTTAGAATTTCAAAAGTCAATTGTTTGTATGATGTACAGTTGCAGACACTGAGTGCAACGACATGACTTGGTGCGGTATGTAAATTAGTGGGAAAAATGGAGCTAGTTTTCCTGTTTTACTTTTCCGGTCTTGAAATTGCAGCTGAGTATTATCCTTCCTTTTCCTCTCCCTGTTCATCAAAAAAACATTTTGGTATGTTTTCAGTGAGGAGAGTTAGAAGTGTATTAGCTGTGAAAATTGTGAGCTCTATCACTTATTACGATAGAAAGTGTCACGCAGTGTGCCCTTACAATACACCCTTCAGGTGACAAGGAAGTCCCAAGAATCCTTATGAAGAAGCTGTCATTGGACAATTGAGATGTTTTGAATTTAAGGAACAAGCTTCTACTTACTGTTTTTGATGGGTCAGAACGGGGGGGGGAAGACTCCACAGAAATAGAATAATATATTTGTAATATTTTCAAATTTTCTGTAATTTTCATGCCTTTTTTCAATTTATTTTTTAATTCCAAAACTAATCTCTGACAAACCATGCTACATCCTTCATATTGCAGAAGGAATCTAGTACTCTTAACATCATTTAATTATGCTTTTGCATCTGTGTGGCTGCTGCTGAGACTGTAATTATATTGTATTTGTAATAGGTGCACAGTTAGCAGCCTGTGCTATGCAGTATGTTGTACAAATGGTTCAGGATTCAGTTCAAACTTTCCTTGAAATTTAAACTTATCCTGAGATCCCTGAAGTTTAGTTACTCTCTGCAAATTGTATAAAAACTGATGAAAAGAAAGTACAATTTGTACAAAAGAATGTAAAGTTACTTATATTGGGGTAAATCTTCAGAAGTACAAATATGTGCCCCTGGCAGCCTTACTAGCTGCTCTTTTGTTACAGAAATGCACTCTACTATAGTTCCCAGCACGTGACTTTTGCTCTCTAGTTAACCTGAAGAATGTGTGGATGCAAACCAAAACACATTAAAAAGAGTGTCCCTGGTCCCTTCCAAAAAAAAAAAAAGGCATTGAGGTCTTGGTAAGTGTTGGTTATTGCTGCTGGTGTTCCTCAGGGAAATACCATGAAATGCTATAATGCTATTAGTAAGCTTATCCACTGAAATGCAACACAAGTAGTTGTTTAAAATCTTAGAGTATTCCACTGAATTTGCCCTTGATAGAATTTCAGTGATGGTAAACGTGAGCAACAAACTGATTGTAGCATTTGCTGATAAAGGTTGAAATTTCATTTTTCATTTAGCCATAGCTAAAAGCTATTTTATGCTTTGCATTTCATGTAAAACTGACTATGTTAGTATTTTAAAATGATACCACGTGCTTTTTTCTGTGTTAAAAAAGGTTATTAAAAAGGAAGTAGTGTGGAACATTAAAGCTGATGGGCAGTTTAATTGAGCAGAAGTATTTTTCTTGCACTAAGAGCAGACGGAGGTAAGTTTCTCTTCTCATAGTTTTCTTGATATTCCTTAAATTCAGTTTTCTCACCAGGAAGATGTTTTGTGATTTTATTTCTCATTTGCAGAAATTCTAGGAATACAATCAATCTGTAGTTGTGGGGTTTTTTTTTAATTTACAAATGAGAAAAACACGAGTGTTTCTAAATCAACCTAGCTTGATTAGGTTGATCAGGTTATTTTTACTTATCTGAATCAAAGGAAGACTGCACTGCTGAATTGTTACCATAAACCTGCATGAGGGATTGTTTGTCATTTCTGCAAAAGCTTCACAGTTGAAACACAAGTTTTATGAGGAGCAGCCAAGGCTGCTGAGATTGTTCATTGTGGAGAAGAGGAGGCTCAGGAGATCTTCAGCCTCTCTACGACTACCTGCAGGGAGATTGTAGTGACATGGGGCTCAGCCCCTTCTCCCAGGTAACAGCAGTAGGAAAAGAGGCAATGGCCTCAAGTTGCACCAGGGGAGACTCAGGTCGGATATTAGGAGAAATTTCCTCTCAGTGTGGTGAGGTATTGGAACAGGCTGCTCAGGGAGGTGGTGGAGTCCATCCCTAGAAGTTTCCAAGAAAAGGGTGGGCATTGCGCCAACATGGTCCTTGTGGTCATGGGTTGATGGTTGGACTAGATAATCTCAGTAGTCTTTCCAACCTTAATATTCTATGATTTTGTTGCTAATACCGAGTGTTTCTGCTCCTCCAACATGTAGAATTCTTGACTGTATGTTGAAGTGCACTATCTGCTTGAATTCAGCACTATGCCTGTGGTTTGTTTTTCTTACAGGCTGGCAGAGTTGCTAAAAGCTGTCTAGATCCTGATTTTTTTTTTCAACTATGCAAGCAGTTTTCTGCTCAAGTGTCAGCTGACCCACAGACATCCCATGGTGCTGCTTCACCATGTTACCAAGTCTCCAACTTTTTTTAAATGCTGCATCACCACGATATATACACCAAAAATAAGTGCAGCCGCCATCTTCCTCTGACACTAAGGTTTGAGTGAGAGGAAATTCACCTCCTTCTCTTTAGGACCGTGCCTGGCTTTGAGCTCTATCTTCCTAATTTGGGTAGTTTACCTTATGTTTTCGCCAAGGTGCCTATATTTCACTTAGCCAAATATTTTCTGCCAGTGATAAGAGTGATCACTTAAGCTACTGTGTTAATTACATGTCACTTCTACAGATGAGGGTGGTTTGCTGTTCCTGCAGTTCATTATGCTTAGGGGAGATCAGATGCTACTCTTGCCATCTCAGTTTAAACCAGCCAAATAAAACTACCATGGTTTTATTTAAGCTGTGCATCTGTAAATTAGATGTGAGAAGTCAACTGACATTCTATCTACTATTTTTTAATTCAGTGCTTGAAACTGGCAGATGTTTTGCATTTTTTAATGCAAATCTGACCTGAAAGCATTTTGTATTCTTCTATCCAGTCTTTATCAATATAACGGTGCGCCTGTCTGCTCAATTTGAGGGGTAGAAATAACAAACTGTCTGCTTCTGCTGTCTTAAACAGCAGCTTCGTAGAAGATGTCCAGTTCTGTATGGACACCCCTTGGTGTCAGACTATAGAAGCAACAATTTTTCATTGTGTAAAAATTGATGATTAATATCAAACATTTCATTAGTGATATGAAACTTCAGAGGGCTCCCTGGCCATTTGTATTTCTTCATTCTGTACTGGTATACATAAAAGTAGCACCTCCTTTGCTGATCAGTAAGCAGGTGTTTTGTTCTAGCCCACAAGCCAAGAGTAACCTTTCTTCTGAATCTGGATCAGGACACGATAAGTGTTCTGTAAGCTGAGTAAGGCAATTTTTCTGTAGGGCTTCTGGTGTTAGGTAGCCTTACATTCAAAAATTGTTGGCTTGCAGTCAAATAAGTCCTTTGGCTTTCCTCAGCAAAGATTTTGTATCATCTGAACTGATTATGTGTTTTAATTGGATTCTCTTTAAAAATATAGATTAATGCTTGTGCCTATTTGTAAAATATGTAAAAGGTGTGTGTCATTCTTGTTTATGGGCAAACTACAGATAACATCATTTAAACTTGCCATCAAGTTTGAATTTGAAATACCTTAGGAGGTGTTTCATTCTATTCTTGTGTAGGCAGCGTATTTAGCTTGAATATATGTCACTAACATCTGGTATTTGTTCTCTGTGATTTGAGATGGGGAGTGATAGGTGGAAGCTGTGGTGTCAGTTGTATTTTATCTGTCTGCTTTGCCAGACTGCGTGGGCCACAAGTGTCTGTATTGCTTTCATAATGGGCTTTTACATTTCATCTTTCTCATGAAATAAACTGTAAATGCACCTACCTAGCTGTAGGTTAAATGACTGTTAGAACATGACGTTTTCATTTGGCTGAAATCAAAGTCTGAGCAGCCCTTCTCTCTGCTAATCCGGTACTGATGAATATCAAGTAGGAGCAGTTCAATGAATCTGTAAAGACAGTTATACAATTGGCTTAAATGGGCTTTAATCTTAAAACAGCATGGACTGTTTTTAAAAAATCCCTTAGAGAAGGTGTAAGTTATTTTGAATTTGATCTGCAACATTTAAAATCTGTATAACAAGCAAACCAAAAAACCAGCTTGCAGTAGAAATGTCGCCTTTCATTTCTAAAGAGTGGGAATGTGTAATCTGTTGGGTTTTTTTCTTTTCCAATTTGAGCTTTTTCTCCACTCAAATCTACTCCTCCAGTCAATTGGATCCAAGTGTAAGGTAGCTTAGGAAGTATCTAAGCCTTAATATCAGCTCCCTTCAATTTGAAGTAGATACACATATATCGTGGTCTCTCCGTTTCATGAGTAGTGTGACTTTAGATAAAGCCTTGCAGGCTTAGCTTTAACCTTTGAAGGCGTCAAGCTGAAGCTTGAAAGGGAGGGTGAAGGAAAGCCACTTGAAAAGTTTCATAGCACTGAGTTTAAGTGAAGAGTGAGCATAAATGCACTAGAAAAGCATTTTTTGAGTACTAAGCAGTATGATAATTAGTTGACTTTTCACATATAGTCATTCTGGTTTTTAACACTGTGGATGTAACTTTTGCATAACTGTATGTATTCTCAGGAAGGAAAAAGTAAAGAAATTCCTTCTGTTTGTAAAAGATGTACAAAGGATTTTGATCAAGGCAGCTGCCTGTGTTAGAAAAATAGGCTGATTCCCTTCAGTTGGAATGTTTCACTGCAGTAGAGCAAACAACAGCTCCGCCATCAGGTTCAGCTTACGTTTTTGAGGCCAGTTATTTTCCCAGTTTAGTAAACGACTGACAGAAATGTTTCTGCACTATTTCTTAGGAACCCTGTAGCAATGCCAGGATCTGAACCCTTCTCCCTTCTCTGCAATGTTTGCAACATTGCAGTTAAGTGCACTTGTTTCCATTGTGTAATGTAGTGCAGGTCTTGTCAACTGCAAGTTCAGAGGATGAATGCAATGCTTTACTTGTGTGTGATCATTATTCTCCAATATTAACTTGATCATTTCCAATGCTTATTTTCCTGTGATGACAGTTGTCTTTGGTGGTCAAACATTAGAGCCCATAGGCATCTTTAGAGTCTTCAGTCCAACCTCCTGCTTTTAACACCTTTGTCTTTGGGTCATTTTTGCAACAAATTATTAAAATTACTCCCTGTGTTCCAGCTGTGGGGACAACAGTAAGAACGATTTGTCCTCTGCTGATGGGCCAGGCTGCTCTTGTACCGTCGTAGCCATCAGAAGATTACACTGCATCACATCTTCTAGTACCACTTTTTCCTTCTTGAGAAACTTTTGTTCCTTTTCCAAACTTGTTTGGCTGCATTATATTTAATTTGGGAAGAGCCTTGTCTAGACCACCTCCATGCTAGTAAGTTAATGCATAGTCTCTGAATGAATCTGACCACTTCAAGCGAGTAGCAGTTCTTTCTGGTCCTAAGATTTGATCATTTGGAATGTTGGCCCTTTTCACACTCAGCATAGAATCTCTGTGTAAGGGAACTACTCCCTTATGTATGGTTTTTTTGTGTTTGTTTTTTTAAGTACATATATATACTTTTAAAAATCTTTCAAGAAATTAGGCCACTCTGAAATTCTAACTTTTTCAGCTGTATCCTGAATATATCTTGGTGAATGGATGGAAGGGTATTAAAACCTTCCATATAAAAATGAGGATTATTTTAATTTCATTCGATAAATAATCTGTAATACAATTAGAAGATAATTGCAGATGTTAAACTTTTTTGCAAGTGTACTTGAAATGAATGCAATAGAACTGTCTGTAGGCATCCAATGAATATATCAAAAAATCAACTACAGTCCTAATAGGGATCGGGCTGTTCCCCTAAATAGCCTTTTTTTCCACTGTTATATCATCAAACTGTGTAGAAAATACACTTTCTTACAAATTTTGCTTTCTTACCTTGTCTGTGAGATTTTGAGGGTACCAAAATCAAAAAAGGAGCTGTTTGTTTGGTGCGCTGTGCACTGGTGTGCTGCAGTTTTGAACACTTCTAATAGTAGTCAAAAGCAACTAAAAGATTTTAAATCAAGGGTCTTAAGATAGATCTCAGAGCTTACTGTGTGAGATCTGTGATGAAACAGCTGGCTTTTCTTTTATTTCTGCTGGGTGGGGATGCTTCACATATCCTTTAAGTAGTCTTTTGCAGCAGTCTGATCTCTGAGTTGCTTTTTAGGTCTTTTGCAGGAAACTTTGTGTTGCTGGGTTAGTGCATCACTAGGGGTGATGGCAGATTGTGTGTATGCTGCTCAGTTGGGAAACCTTGAATAAGTTGGTGGTGCCTGTTACCTCCATAAACTAGCCAAAAAAAGCATTGGAGGAATGTGTTCCATTGCCAGTGCTGAGGGACTCTTCACTCACAGTATGCAGTTGAGGTAGATATTTGGTATAATTTATCTGAGTTTAGAAACTGGGGGGTCTGTGGGCCAAATATGTTTGTTTTACGCTTACATTTTAATTTAACTTTATAACTTCAATGATCCAGCCAATAGATCAGACATCAGGTCTTTATCTTGGGACATTTTATCATTGAGCCCTATGAATTTGTAAAATTCAAACTAGGTTAAAAAAGCACTGCTGCTCTGTGAATAGCTTACTTCATTATAAGGAGATTGGTAAATCTGTTCATGTTAACCATCCGAAAATGCTTCCCACTGCTTCTGTGAAATACAAAAGGTGGTGAGAAATAGAGATGAGAAGCAGAAGTGAGCTAAAATACATAGGAAGAACCAAAGTGGAAGTCAGGAAGGCGGTTTGCAGGACTGTGTCTGTGTGGTGATGTTTCCTGCTGGGGTTTTAAAGTGAGTTTGAAATTGAAGACTAAATTAAAAGCCCTAAACCATGTTTAAAATTGACTTCTTCTTAAAGAAATTGCAGACATATTGAGAGTCTTAGAGTGAATTTGAATATGGCTACAAAGGAGTGGATAATAGGATACTTAGCATTTCCAAGTTACTTCACACAGCTAATTTCAAATGTGATAACAGGGAAATTTTAAATAAAAAAGTGTAATGATATTTGGAGAAGATACAAAAGAATGGGTAATGGTTGAAAATTATCATATGTGAAGACGTGCTGTACAGTAAAATACAGACCCGACTAGAATACTGGAATGGCTCATGTTATCTTGATTAAAAGCATAAAGTAGTTAGCTGCTGTTACTGAAACACCTAAGGCAAGTCTTTGTCTTCTTGAGTGTTGCTGAGCAGATAGTATGAAACACATCTTCCTGATACAGATATGAGGTGTTGACTCTGCTAGTTAAGATGTGTATGTCAGCAGGCTTCTGGAGTTTTGGGGCAGGTTTTAGAACACGGAGAGTGATATGGATGATACTCAGTAACTTCACCTGACTGTAGCAGACAGGATCACAGAATGACCATGTGAAGCTGTTAAATGCAAAGATGATAAGGAGAAGGGGGGAAAATTGGCTGAACAAGAAGGAATTAAGAATCAAAGTTTCTCTTAGAAATCTTAAAGAAAAGTAACCGTAGTGGTAATGTAGACCAGTCTTTCTCTTGGTGGGGAATTCTTGTTTGCAGCTACAATGACTGCAAACAGAAGAAGGTGTCTGTTAGACAGCTTGTATGGTCTGTTGATTTTTAAATGGGCACCTGAGAAATGCTTATGCTAAATAATGAGCCGTTGCAGGAGAAGTGACTGGGGAAGCATAGCTGTGATTATATACCAGTACCAAGTTCTGTTCAGGACAGCTGTTGTACCAAGCTACTAGAGGAAACTTCTTAATGATTTTGCATTGATGAATTTGAGGAAATAGATTAACAAAATAAAGCCCATACTAGAAAGAAAACAGCTCAATAAACTGAGACAGCACTGACAGATAAAAGAGATGCAGCAGTTCTTGTTCAACCCCACCTTCTGTGTGTGCAGTTTTAAAATGTCAGTTCTGTAGGGCAGTGAAAGTGACAGATAACTGAAATTGTCTTTTTTCTGTGTGATGTGTTCATCGTCACGAGTTCTAAATGCCAGTTTCTGCACTTTGCTTGAATTACACTAATCTATAAGAAAAATTTGCTGTAATGGGAATGAGTTCGTCAAGAAGGAAAACAACAGTGCAGTTAAGAATACAAGTTGAGTTTGCTCAGGTCTTGAAGGAATGAGAAGTGTTCTAAAAAGCCATTAAAATGCAAAGAATCAAAATGAGATGTAGCTGTAGAATGAAAAAGGTGAAAAGGAAGAGAATACACTTGAGAAATTGCTTCTTCATTTTTCTAACCCAGATTGAGAAAAGAAAAATATACGTGACATCAGAAATGAGGTGCTGAGTAAATTGGTGACTATAATTCAGTACTGTTCTCCTACTAGAAAAATCATGTAATGCAGTTATGCTCAGAATTTTGTTCTAAGGCTGGTTATGATGCAATATTTTCCTGTGCAGCCCCTGGCTATTTTTTGGCAGTGGTACCCCAAAGTTGTGCCTGTTTTTCAAATGATTAACATGAAGAAAGTGCCTCACTGCAGAACCAAGAGGCTGTTATTTTTTGTAAGGAAGTAGTGGCAGGTAGCAGTTCTAAAGATTTGTCTGTATGTGGCAATTGAAACTGCCCCAAGGTGTGAATTAAAATGGACTATCTACTTAGAGATATTCAGAAGCCATCTGGACGTGGTCCTGGGCAGTCTGCTTGGGGTGCCCCTGCTGAGCAGGACAGCTGATCTCAAGAGGTCCCTTCCAACCTGAACCATTCTGTGATTCTGTGACATCTGTTTTCTGTTCCCAGATTTGGAAAAAGGCTTTTCAATGTCTGTGGGGGTATTAACTGATAGCCGGATTTAAAGAGGTACAGGTTTTGTTCATTGGCTTAAACAATATCCTGTACAGTTGATTTATTCTTAAATACTCTGAGAAAATTCAAGGCAGACTTAAATAGAAGTACAAATACATGGTAGTGTATGTGATAACCCTCTAAAAACACCTGTGAAACCCAGAAAGTAGTTGTGATGAGAAAGCAGGTAGCAAAACGTATTTCTTTTGCTTTACACTGGAGCCAAATACGTAACAGCTGTGATGGCATCTTGTGAGGATACTTCTGAATTTTGACATATCAGCAGAGACAGCTTTAAGGTTTGATGTAATGCCGTGACTGAGGAAGCTCTAGACATAACCCATGTAGTAGTAGCTGGAGGCTTCTGACACAGAGTAATTGTAAGGAACTTTTAGAATCTCATTCTGTGACAGATTTTGGAATTGAGGCACACAACCATGTAATTGTGTTACACCACATTTAAAAAAAAAATACTTTTGAAGTCATCCTGCATTTGCTTGGGGCACTCTGAGTAGCGTGAGCTGCACTATTCCTAACAGTACTTATTCTGCAAGTGTAGTGAGAACACCTCTCCAGCCAGCCCCAAATGTCTCTTGGAGATGGGTGCAAATGTACCTGCATGTATTTTATTAATTAATAGTTATTACTTGATATAAATAGAGATCCTAATTACATCTCACCAGGTTTGACAGTGGATAGTGGATTATTTAAAAGGAAAGAAAAGAAAAACGACAAATGGTTGGCACACGTGGATTCAGTTATGGTAAATTTGGTATAGTCTGATTTTCCCTTTCGATATTAACTTTTAATAACATATTATCTAGTGTGAATAAATACGTGGATGCTCTGGTTTTAATTTTCTCTGCTGAAACGTGTATGTGTTCTTAAAACAAAGAAGGCATTAAAGGTGTTGTACGTGTGGTATTGTAACAAAACCTGACTCTAGGAAATAGTGTTAGAAATAGTGGTCAGTGTGAAGGACGTCCCAGTGCTGGTGCTGCCCTGGTGTTCCCTCCTCACCAGCTTGTGTCCTCTGCCAGCTGCACCTGGAGCTTCTTTTCACAATTCCCAGGAAGAGCAGTGCCTGGGAGGCAGGTAGGGCAGCTGGGGAAAAGGGCCCACTGCACTGCAGGGAGAGCAGCTGCAAGTTCAGCTGGAGTCCAGCAGCAAATGGACATTGCCTCTTCTGCTTGAGAATACCAATTATTTCTTCAGAGAATAGTCACTGAAAAAGGACAGGGATTCGAAATACAGAAATAGCCCAAGGTCTGTAACAAATGAGTGTCATGGCAGAAGCTGTGCTGATCCACAAGGAGCATGTGCTGACCTTAATTTCTTAGGAGCTTGGCGAAAGAGGAAACATTAAGAATGTTAAATAAAACCAGCAAGCATATTAGTCTTGTACTGTATGTTGTTAGCCAACTGCAAATAGTTCTAGGTCTCGAGATGACTAAAGTATCCTGCTTTCCTTAGCTTTACATGGTACATATGTCTTCATAAGTCTACTCAAAATAGTGAAGTGTGTTGTCATTTACAGATTGAATTTTCCCCTTGAAAGTTTATGAAGTTCATTATTGGGAAGTACAGAGTGTGTTCTATGAAGAGATCTGATTGTTGTTATGAATTCATCTTGTACAGAGCTGATACAGTTGTGGCTTAAGCTTTCTATTGGACTGTCACATTTAAAATGACTTTTTCAGAGGATGATCTATTGTAGAGACGTATCGTTCACTTTGTTCTGTTTGTACTCAGGGATGGAATTGCATTAGTGTCAGTCCTTTAACACTGCTCTGTGTTCAATCACTGCCTGTTCCTGTGTGTAATGGGGAAGCCCCATGGTGCTGTGCTTACCCCACCTCAGGTGTCCCTGTGCTGGGTCAGCAGGATGTTGGCTGAGTTGGGAAACCCCACCAAAACCCTTCAGGAGAGGAGGCTGCCCTGCCCTCAGCACCGTGGCTTGCCAGGAGAGCCAGTGGGATGCACTCAGGGAGCTTTGGCAAATATTGCTCTTGCTTTGCTTTTTGTTTATTTAAATCCTGTTAATCTCCAACCTCCTCACTTCATTGGTGCCAAGATCTCACTAGCAAGCTGAATTTTCAGCTACTGGTATCAAACCACTTCTGTGGATTAGATGTTGGAAATGAGTAACAAATACGTAATGCTGGCTTGAAGCCCAAGCATGGACAGCAGCTTTTCATATATCAGGTAACTCATGCAGAGAGAATGCTTCATTCTTTGAGTTACACGCAAGTAAAGAATACTGATTTTTTCTTAGCAAAGCATTTTCAAGGTCTTGAGGTAAAAGTCCATTCTTTGGCTGCACAGGTAATCTGGCTGGGAGGTGTTCCTTCTGCTCCGTCTTGTGGTGCTCAGTGACAGTGCTGCCACACTCCAATAAAATGCTTGGGTAAACAATTGAGTGGGGTTGCTCTGTGCTTATCCAGTGCCTTAAAGTTGCTGAGATCAGTCTAAAGCACGGTGCTGTTCTCACAAGAAGTGAGAAGGCAGAAACGAGACGTGTGCCTGTACATGGCTGCCCATTAGCTCAGCACGTGAGGCTGTGGGTGCTCCCAGCAGCACTGCCCAGCCCTCCTGGCTTCAAGTCATGCCATTGCAGAGCAGCAGCATCTCTGCAGTCTGTCACTGCTATAATCAGCTGCCTCCCAGCCAAACAGTTTGCAGAAAAAGTGTGTGAAACCTATGTGAGGTAATGAGGTTTAAATCCCTGCGAACTGGGGCTTGGTGAAATCATTCAAACCCAGACAAGACGCTGCTCTGGTTTGAAAGTGCTGCTGGCACAAGGTCAGCAAAAATCTCTTCAATTCCCTCATTTTTAATTGATCTTGTTCAAGAGTGAGAGATGTTGGGAACCAGTGCAGAGGGACCTGGGGAGTCAGGGCACCAGCAAGAGAGCAGAGAAGCTGAGAAGGCGTCAGCCCAGGCAGGATCTGTGCTGTGCTGTGCGGCAGAGATTGACTGTAGGCCTCCTGTAGTCCATGTTTCCTAAAGCTCCCGTTACAAATTCTCTCGTGCTTTAAAATGCCAGTCATATCAAGGCGGTACAATAGCTTAATCCCACGGTGCAGGAGAATGGGAGGCTGTCTCGGCCTGTGCCCTGTTGGTGTCTGCTGCCTGAGTGCTCAGGTGTGAGGGTTTTGATGTATCAGAGTTCACTTGGAGAAATAAGTGTTCAAATATAAAATGAGTTAACCTCTTACTTTAGTAAATATGGTATTTTAATGGGGATTTACTAAATCTTGTTCTGTTGGCTTTGGTACCTAAGTTAGTATATGCACTTGAGACAACAGAGTTCCTCAAAATAGGGGGTTGCGTGTGAGTGTCCACACCTGGGCACAGGAAAGCAACTTTGCCTACTCAGACCTGGATTTTGGCCTAATGGATGTCAAAAATTAAATATAAGAACATTTGGAAAGAGCCAAGCTAGGTATATGTTTTTTATGTACTTAATTGTGTTTTTGCAAGATAGAAATTGATTAGTTTTGACAGCCAAACTGGAATGCTTAATACTGTATGCAGAATATATTCCTGCTATTCTAAAATAGTTTCTAAGTGATTTGTTTTTTTCTGCTTCCCTGTAGATTAAAGCAAAAAATTATGACAAAGTGGAAAAGGTGAGTCCTATTAATATATGCCATATAACTCTATAGCAAGAACAAGTAGCTTGTGATTCAGCTAACGCAGATTGCAAAAAAGGAGAGCTGCCATTGATTGTGCTATTGAAAAATACAGATAAGAAGTTTCAATAACATAGACTTTGTTGTAAGCAAACTGTAATTAGTAAGTTAGCAGAGGAATCTCTCTGCTTAATTCTCTCCAGTTTCTTTGCGTAGCATAAAGGTGCTTTTGTCAAAGGATGAGTAGTTTGCCTCATTATTTCTTACAAATTTCAATTATAAAAACGAAGGTTTTATTTCATAGTGCATAGTATTAAAAGTAGAAACTTGATATTTTTGGAATCCTGATCACGTCTTCTTGATGTATTGAACAGTTATTTCAGCGATGCCTTATGAAGGTTTTACACATTGATTTATGGAAATGTTACCTTTCCTATGTACGTGAAACCAAGGGGAAGCTGCCTAGTTACAAGTAAGTTGTCAGCACTGCTCTGAATTATTTGTATTATATGAATCTTCACTTAATTTTTGATGAGGGGGTGGGGGGAACCTGTATGCCAAACCTGCTGGGGAACTTTGTAGAGTGGGGTTTGCGGGTAATACTATTTAATCTGCATTTTGGAAACACCTTCTTTAAAGTTTCTTTCATTGAGCTTGCTGTGTGAAATTACTTCTCAGTCTGGGTCTGGGTGGAGAGGTGGGACAGCAGCAGGGGAGCAGCTGGAGCACCCATGCATTCCTCTGCACCCGAAACTGGCGCTTGGGCTCACCTGAAATACGCCTCTTTCTCAGTCGCAGCCTTCTCTGTTCTCCCCCCTCCTCTCTGCCCTGTTTAGGGTCTCCACAACACTCAACATTGCTTCCAGCTGAGGTGCTACATTTGAAAGTAAAAGCAAATCATTTATTAGAGTAAGCTTGGCAAGGCTTACCGAGCATAAAAAATCAAGGTGTCAAAATTTGGGGGTCTGTTAATTTTCATCTCTTATCATTTACTGCATTTTGCTCATTTATTATCCCCTGGGCAGTCCAATGCTTTTTGTCCTGCTTGAGGTTTCAAGAAATATCAGTAACTTCCAGCATTCTATGAACTGTTTTTTTCCCAGCCCACCATAATCTCTGTATCCTACAACAGGCTAGATAGTCACTGATCCATTAACAAAAAGAAACAGACTTTTAATTTTTAAAAGACTGTGTTGAAATAATTATTAAGAAGTATTTTCCTCTTCTACCTCATCTTTGTCCCATTTAACTTTCCTCTATTTTTCCTGATAATACGGACAAAAAATTAGGGAAGTAATGAAAAATATTTGAGAAAAGGAAACAAAAGACAGTGGAAGAGTAAAAGCTATTTTCATTGGAAACTGGGCAAGGAAAAAATTCTGTGAACATCTTCAATTTTGGGAAAATCACTTTGATTTTGAGGGGGGTAGGAGATCTTATGAAAGATTCTGGCTGGGTTCCACATGTGGGGCTACTCCTCATTGTCCAGGTTTGATGTTGCTAGGGAATGACAAGGTTTGGAAGGTTTTGAGAGAGAAAAGGAAACAACGGGTACATCTGCCGAGTAGGAGCATGTAGACACCAGTTATCTTTTATCTTCTCCATTCCTCTGCAGTTTGTGTGCTTGGATTTCCACATTCTTAAGGAGGGGGTCTCGGGAACCAGTAATATGCTGCATTGCCACCAATAAATGCAAACAGCTTTCTTTTAAGCAAACATCTATATGCGGAATTGAAAGATGTCCCAGTGCAAAGTTCTGCTCTCAGCTGTTGGGTGACACTTTTTATTCCTCGGGGTTTGCTTAGGCTTTGCTGCACAAAAGAATGCAGAATAAAGAATTTTTTAAAATACTGAAGAATTGCCCTTTGGTCTTTGTGGTTTGTTCTTTTCCTCAGAGAAAAAATGGCTCAGGCATATGATTTTGCTCTGGATAAGATTGGCATGGAAATCATGTCATACCAGGTATGTTTCTTCTATGAAAACACATCTTATTTCTAAGTTGATATCAAGTACAGTTAAACATTGATTTCATTATATGTACTATTTTTTCTTGAATAGATCTGGGTGGATTACATCAATTTTTTGAAGGGCGTGTAAGTACCTTGAAAGATTTTTATTTTTTTTAAGTTAATATAATGTCGATGTTCATACCAGATATGATCTGTAACAGCTGACATTAATCTCTCTCCCCAACATTTAGAGAAGCTGTAGGATCTTATGCAGAAAACCAGAGGATAACAGCTGTCCGCAGGGTGTACCAGCGTGGGTGTGTGAATCCAATGATTAACATAGAACAGCTCTGGAGAGATTATAACAAATATGAAGAGGTAATCAAAAGCTTAACCCTTGTTTGTGACTTAAAGATGTAATAATCTTATAATCAAGTATGGTGCCCAAAATTGGGCCCACTAAATTAGGTGTGAGAGATGACAGGTACTCGGCAAAGAGACATTTCTGTACCGTGATGGTGGTCAGACACTGGGACAGGCTTCTCAGGGAGGTGGTTGGTGCCCCGTGCCATCAGCGTTGGGATAATGCCCTCAGTAACACGCTGCAATTTTTGGTCAGCCCCGAGGTGGTCAGGCTGTTGTCGTGGTGAGCTTTGAAGGGCCCTTCCAGCGGAACTGCTGTCAATGTCACATTGTCACACTAAGCACAGTCGTGCATGGTGGGTACAACGGCATTTGGCTGTGATGGTTTGGATGTCCTCTGCAGTATTAAGTTGCATGTTCTCAAGTACATACAAAATGCTCTTCACCGTTACAGCATTGACTCAGGTGAGTCTGCTATCCCAGTGCCGTCAGCAATGTCCTCACTGTCCTCAGCTCAATGACCTGGAGGCTGATCTGTAGTTGCACCTCTGTAGTATCCATAGACACATCTGGTAACAGCTTGTTAACCTCCCCCGATCACACAGGTGGGAGTGTAGAACTGGGAGTCGATGTCTCTGTGCTCAGTACGTTCCTACAGCACACACCCACATCCCACATTGCACCCAGTGCTGCTGATGCTGGCGCACCGTAGGTCAGCCATATACTTTAAAGGGAAGAAGGGACCGTTTCTCCTTGTTTCTGACTGCACCAGTTGTAGGACTGGTGACAGGAGGGCCACCGTGCTTTGCTGGCAGGAGTGCCTCTGGCACCCATAGCCCTGCACACCTATAGCGTGTCCTGCAATAGCCTGGTGCTGCACTCACGGCAGCCACTTGAGAAGAACCAAGCGATCTGCCCTCTGCTGAAAAACGCCCCATCCCACTGCCAACTGCCTCCCTATAAGCTTTTGTCTCTTCCCACCCACACTGTAAATGAAAACTATTGCTGCTTGCTCCTACCAGATCCGCTGGACAGTCAGAATGTCAGAACGCCTGGCCTGCGTTTATTCTGTGTCTTCTTGGTGAGGCGAGGAGGGCAGGGCAGCTGTACAGACAGCACTGCTATCTGAGGGGAAACCATCCCTGCAGCAACAGCCCAGTGAAAGAGATTGGTGTGCAGCTGCTGGCACCAAAGGTTACTGGGTGTTTGCTGCAGCTAAAACATGCTAAAACAAAGCCCTCAGCTTGCCTACTATCTCAGTAGCAGCCGGGTAGCAGTGTCATGTCAGCTGCACGGGCTACATGGAGTGCTGCTGGGTATATGTTCTATGGCTGTCCCAGATCTCTCAGTAAGAAGCAGCTGGTGCTTTCCCTTGTTCCCACAACGTGTTGGTACCCAGCTCAGATGCCCCTTTGGAACGGTACTAAAACCATGTTGTTTCCTCAAAATCCTGCCAAGCACTTCAGGAAGATCGACTCTGCCCCAGGCCTGAGCGAAAGGGCATTGCTGGTCCTGCCATCAGAGCAGACTGTTGGGGTAGGCGCTCCTGGCACCCCACAGCCTGGCCCGCATCCCCATGGTGTGGGCTGTGCTGTGGGGCAGCACCATGCCCTCAGCAAGCAACTGTCTGGCCGGGCATTGTGCCGGGCACTTGTGGGTGTCACAGAGGGACAGCTATGGCCATCCAGTGCTTCAGGAATGGGCCAGGAGGCAGAGCAGTGAGCTCTGACTTGTCCAGGAAAGCTGAACGGTTCCTACGCTGTCCTCATCTTCATCTGGTAGACAGCGTGCAGCAGCTGGGCAGAGAACCATGGCTCTGTGCATAGGCATTGGCCACCATTTAAAAGGAAAATTCTGATTTGCAAATACATTCATTCTTCTGCTTTCTCCCCCATCTGATTTATGTAAAGCTCATTGTGTTTTGAAAGCCGTGGTAAGATTAAAAATGTACTGACGTGTTTCAAGTCACCTGAATTTTAGTATTGAATTTATTCCCTTGCAAATAAGTTCTGCCCTTGTGTGAAATGTTTATCAGGAGAAATCCAGAACCTTTTAAGATCTATGTTTGAAGATGGCTTTCACCTTCCTGCTCACTTTTGCATTCCCCCTCAGGCTCTTTCTGTATGAAATGAGATTTGGCAATTCCACATTGAACCCACTTCCTCGTTTTGCTCTTCTGCAGGGAATCAATATTCACTTAGCGAAGAAGATGATTGAAGACAGGAGTAGGGATTACATGAATGCACGACGTGTAGCAAAGGTACAAACTTCTGATGAGTTTTGTTTCCATTCTACGAACTGGCATTACGCATGCTTCTCACTTTAACAGAAAATGTACGTTAAAGTATTAAGCTTGGCATGCTGAAATATTTATCAGTTTCATAAAATGAGTTTTTGATTTGCTTAGATCTGCTGTTCAAAGCATCATTTCTGTTCCAGGAATATGAGACAGTCATGAAGGGGCTGGACCGCAATGCCCCCTCCGTCCCCCCCCAGAACACCCCACAGGAGGCTCAGCAGGTGGACATGTGGAAGAAGTACATCCAGTGGGAGAAGAGCAATCCTCTGCGTACAGAGGATCAAACTCTCATCACAAAAAGAGGTAATTAGGTACCACTGTAGGATATGTAGGGTTCTATTTCTTAGCTCCATTGATGGTCTCCAGCATAAATAATAATGTTTTAGTATGCGGGGATTGTGGTGTAGCAGAAGTTGGTCAAGTTTTTTCTTTCCGTTCTTGAATTGTGTGATTATTTTTTTTTTTCTTTTAGTCTGTTTAGTTTTTGCTTAAGGCAAGCTGAAAGCAATGTGTAGATTTGGGGTACAGTGCTATGGCCATGTGCCACCAAACTTTAGAGTTGTGGATCACAGCCTGACCTTATGGCTGGTGTTCCTGATTGAGTTCTGCTTCCTCCTCTGAGGAGGAGGCAGGTTGTAGCTGCTGGTTGTGATTCATCAAGTTCCAATGATGTAAAAACTGCAATTGTGATCATTCCATTCAAAGCCCGTTAGTATTAATAGTTTCTACTTTAATCGCTGTTTTCTGTATGTCATTGTGCAAGGTAGTACTATTTCTGCAATAATATACAAGGAATATTTCTTACATTTTTCCCCCTAGTTATGTTTGCCTATGAGCAATGCCTTTTGGTTCTGGGACATCACCCAGATATCTGGTATGAAGCTGCACAGTATCTTGAGCAATCTAGTAAGCTGCTAGCTGAAAAAGGGGTAAGGAGAATGCTGATAGCTTTTTTTTTTTCTTATTTAATTGCTTTAACACGGTGTACTGTTGTTAATGTTTTCTCAAATAACATCCAAGGGGGGAGTGAAAAATCTCGAGCATCTTAAAAGTTGCATCACATTCAGAATTTTAAATTTGGATCTATTTTAATTAAAACAAAACAAAACAAAACAAAACAAAAAAAAACAACCTGCATCTGGGATAATAAGAATTATGAAAAACTGTTGCAGTGTTGTCTGGTTTTAGGTTGGGGTTTGTTTTCTTGTGAGGTTTTCTTTGACATCTCTGATTCCTTCAGCACTGGGGAGATGAGTGACTCCTGATTGGAGTATTATGAGGGCGCTCAGTGGAACTTGTGCAGAGAAGACAAGCCATGGGCAGGCTGCAGGCATTGAACAATTATCGTATTTATTTTATAACAGGACATGAACAATGCTAAACTTTTCAGCGATGAGGCTGCTAATATTTATGAGAGAGCCATCAGCACTTTACTAAAGAAGAATATGCTTCTCTATTTTGCGTATGCAGATTATGAAGAGGTGAGCAAAAAGCGATGTCGTGCCATAAAACCCAAAGACATCTTTCTTCAATACTGTCATATTTTTGAAACATACCAAATACACAGGCATTCTGAACATTTAACTTACTGATTCTTTTAACTTTAGTCCCACCCAATGTTTCTGAGACTAAGCAGACAAAATGGGGAGGGAAAAAAAACAGTTCTCATTGTTTTGAAATCGTAATGTCTTTCCACTTGACAGTTAACTCTATTTTTCAAACAACTGTGAAAGTGAAACTGATTAGTTTACATTTACCAGAGCCTCAGTTTCTTCACTTACGAAGTGGGGTAAGAGAGCACCTTTCCTGTCTAATTCTTGGAGGCTGAATTTGTCCTTGGCTACCACGGTGTTACTCAGACTCGATGAGTAATGCCTGACACTGGTTGGTTTTGCACATCGAGCCATCAGGAATGAAGACAACGTCCCGTTGATTAGATGAGGACTCACACATCCACAGTAGGGTGTATTGTGCCCGCTTATTGTAACTTGATTCTCTGCAGGAAGATCTGGAGCATAAAAGCAAACACGTCTTCACCCTTAAAGAAAATCTTCCCTTGGCTTTCAGGGCAGCCTCGAGTATCCAAAGATACCAGCTATTAAAGTTTTCCAGTGTTGCACAACGCAACATGAAGGGCTGCAGCTGGCAGCAAACAGAATGGGATCCTTTGAAATGTGTAGGTTTGGAAGTGAAGATGGTGATTTTCATATTTGCTGTGCAAGTTGCTTTTTGTTGGAGAGGAAGGAACTTGTCTTCTTATCCCAAACACCTAACATGGCCATTCTGCTGCAGTATTACTAAATTAGATTCAGACATGAAAAGCACATACATAAACACTAGGAAAAACAGAATGGGGAGATTAAAGATTGATGTATATCGTTTCCAACTGAGGAAAAAAGGAAACAAGACTTTTTTTTCTTCATGCTGATCTTTGCATCCCCGCAGGTGGTTTGTAGCAGTATTACTAAGCAGTCTGTATTTCTTGTTAATGTGCTTTAGAGTCGAATGAAGTATGAGAAAGTGCACAGCATATATAACCGGCTCTTGGCTATTGAAGACATTGATCCCACTCTGGTAAGATGATCTCCTGTATTGAGTTCTTCCACATTTGCATATCCTGAGTACATCCACCACACGGGGAAGTACTGACGTGAGGTCTTTGGGTCGCAAGAATAGCTGAGCAGGCGGAGTGCTGGGATGGCACAGTTGGATTAGAATGTCTGCTAGTTTGGTAACTGCAGGCTGTCACCATCCAAACACACCAAGTCGTGCACACATTTATCCTCTGTGTCTTTTGGAGAATCTCTTAAAAGAAATTATGAAGGTGTCATGTTTTATAAAAAGCTCATAAGAATTGGTGCACGTTTTGCTGGCTCAGCTAAAATTTCCCTTTGCCTCCCCTTTACAGATTAAAAGCACGTCGCTTTTGCCTGTTGCCTTCCTTAGAGAAATATATTCTTCTGTGTATAAATAAGCTTGCAGATAAAATTGCAGTTCACCACATAGTTATTAAGGTGCATTGCTGTGCACCACTTTTGTTGTGCAGTAAGTGTTGTTCCTCGTGTCAGCTGTGCTGGTACAGAGCAGATAGGCTGAGAGCTAACCTGCCCTCAAAAGGTGACTTCGTTTGTAAATAGATGTGACAAAGCAGGAGAGAAGTAAAAAGGTCTGAGGTCTAAAATTAAACAGGTGGGTGCTGGAGAAAGGTATCCATTTACTGGCATATTCTATTCATTAAACAAAGATTACAAAGCTCTCCTTATATGCATACTCTGAGAAGGCACAGGCCAGCCCCTCCCACTGGAGGAATGCAGTTGTTTGCAATCTAATTGTGAGCGGAGGAAGAAATGCAAATCACAAATTAGCCCATGAATTAGATAGCACGTTCTTGACATTCTGATCAGGTATAGCTATTTGCAGACAGCATGACCTGTGTCTTGGATTCCATAAAGAGTTAAAGGTTTCCCTGGGCTTTTTGCCTGTTCTTTAGCCCTATGGGTGTCTGCACTTATTGGAAAGTTGTTATTTTTACAGTAAATCCTCTTTCTCAGAAGGTACAAGCTTATGAAAATTACACTTATCTACTTCCCCTGCCTTGAGAAATGTGTGTATTAACTATTGTCACTCTGGGCAATTGATCTTAGGTATTTTCCATTTTTTAAATTCGTATGTGGATAACTTTGCCTCGTTGTTTTTAGCGTAGCAACGCAGAGGCACAACACAGTCTTGTCTATTTCTAATACAACCTGTTAGCTGTAATTTGTGAGTAAGGATTATTTCAAGTAGAGCTACAAACTGCATGTCCTAGCACTCTTTGTTATCACTGAAGGTAACATTAATATGCTCCTTTATAGGTTTATATCCAGTATATGAAATTTGCAAGGCGAGCAGAAGGCATAAAATCTGGAAGAATGATATTTAAAAAGGCAAGAGAGGACACCCGGACCCGCCACCACGTCTACGTTACTGCAGCGTTAATGGAGTATTACTGCAGTAAGGTAATTGCAAGTGCTCAGTTTGGTACTGAAGAAGCATGGGATAGTCTCAGTGAAGCCTATAACTTTTTCTTTTTAATGTTTGCAGGATAAATCTGTGGCCTTTAAGATTTTTGAGCTAGGGCTGAAAAAATACGGAGACATTCCAGAATATGTACTGGCATATATCGACTACCTGTCTCACCTTAATGGTAAGCTTCACACACTGAGATGCCTGAGGAAGCGTTAGGCTGCCTCCTCTATGAGCTGAGCAGAGGTAGAGCTGTGTTCTTCTGCCACCTGTAAGCATAAATATATATATATTTTTGAGTCAGTGTCAGTAATTTTGTAAGAAATTGTTGTAGGTCTCTATGAATAAATGCAAGGCCTTTCTGTAGATCTCCATCACAATGAGCTGGCTGTTTATTCAGAAGTGAGAACTTTTGGTCTAATAATGGTGGAGGAATATACAACAGGGCCCAATTAAAAGTTACTGAGATAAGCCGTTGTGATAATTAAAGAAAGCTGAAAAAAAAGACCAACAATTATGGCAAGCAATAGAACCTCTGTCAGGACAGGTTTATTGTGACAACAAAAAGAAATTTGCAAATAACAAACTCACAGTAGAATCTGACACTATTATATTGTTGTCTGCATGTTCAAATTTTGTTCTCATTACTGAAAAACAAATCAAGGTATCAGAATGTCAGTCTTTAGTGCAGTGTCCACACCAAAATGAGCTGTATTTTACTCAGTATAACATTTCTTTTTTTTTTCTTCTGTTTTTAAAGAGGACAACAACACAAGAGTTTTGTTTGAGCGTGTTTTAACTTCAGGGAGCCTCCCACCTGAGAAATCGGGGTATGTCTGCAAAAGCTGCTGCACTACACTGAAAAACCACTTTCAACTACAAGTAGCACAAAGTAACAAGGGAAAAAGAAAGAGCAATGAGACAAAATTAGCTATAGATTTTCCTCCCCCACCCCCTTAATGCTGTCTAAAATAGCAGCAACCAGACAGGTTTGTGCAGGTTCCTATCCCACTCACAGTGATGGTCATTATTTGTTGATTTCTAAAACCTCGTTGACAAGCAAACAAGCAATTGTTAGGGAGAAAGTGCAAGATCCTGCTGCATGGTAAGCACTCAGTAGTTTTAGCAGGTGGCATGGCTTATGCCACATCTCACTTGGTGCTTTGGATAGATGAGGAAAGGGAGCTGATGATGTCTTTCAGATGAGCCAGGATTTTATAGTAGAATGCTGAACTGTGCCCAAGTAACCAAAAATAAAACTATGAATGAACCAAAAAAGGTACAGATTAGCCACTCACTGGCACGTTTTCATTGCTGCTGTTTAAATTTATTCTCTACAGAATAGTTACTAGACCTTTTGTGTCCCAGGTGTTCACCATTGTTATTACTCTGTCAGACACAGGCATCAAAACTAAGAAATCAAATATTGCCCTGCTGTTGCATGGTCATTCTACATTTCCCTTAAAAGAAAGGGGAAAAAAAAAAATTAAAAGTGGTATCGTCTTCAAAGGTGAACTCCAAAGTGGAAGTTGAACCATGTTCAGAAGTATGGTCAGACGTTACTCAAGTTAGACATGAGATTTTGCACAAACCATTGAAAAGGAGCACAGTGCTCATCCAGTTCCAACCCCCTGCTATGTGCAGGGTCACCAACCAGCAGCCCAGGCTGCCCAGAGCCACATCCAGCCTGGCCTTGAATGCCTCCATGGATGGGACATCCACAGCCTCCTTGGGCAACCTGTTCCTTTTCAGAGAGAAGCTGAGTGTATAGTGATTAAAATCCTCTACAACTGAAAGCTTTTACCAAAATACGTGAGGCACTGGGATTGTAATGGATGCTATAGATCAAAATTAATAAATGCTAGAAATGGCAGTGTGTTCCCTGATTTACCTCACTAGCATCTCTCATGTTGAGATCTTTATAATTTGGATTTTTTTCTTCCTTAGTAACTGTCTATCTGTTCTTTTACAGGGAAATCTGGGCTCGGTTTCTAGCTTTTGAAAGCAACATTGGTGATCTTGCCAGTATCCTCAAAGTTGAAAAACGGAGGTTTACAGCATTCAAGGAAGAATATGAGGGTAAAGAAACAGCTCTGCTTGTAGACAGGTATAAGTTCATGGACTTGTACCCTTGCTCTGCAAGTGAGCTTAAGGCTCTTGGTTATAAGGTAAGTGGGTAATGCCTCCTTTTACTGTATTGGTTTCAGTCATACAAACTTAACCAGTTCCTTCTTTAGCACTTGTTTTTTTTTTCTTGGAAGAATCTTCCTCCTTTTTTTCTATTGTAAATGATAGTTAAAGTGCTTCAATGCTGCTTCTCGGAATTTAAATTTGAGGCCAGAAGCCTGTGCCCATCTCATTTCTGACCACATGTATTTAAGTGGTGTATGAGTCCCATGCAAGTCCGTAGAGCTTTGGAAGTCAATGATATGGGAGTTCCGTGTAGCGTGACGTTAAGTAGACTGCCAGAGGCAGAAACAGCTCTGCTGGAGAAACTGCTCTTTCCCTTATATAAATAGGAACAGAACCTTCAGCTCCTATCTCAAAACAAGTGCCTCAACTTACTTTTATTTCTTATATACATAAGTGATTTCTCAGAAGAAAAAAAGTTCACTGAACTTAGCAAAACAGCTGAGTTGTTGGGCTTCACAATTTTAAAGTGATCTGATAGGTGGGAACGAGTCACACTGAGCCACTGAATGTTTTTGTCTTAAAGCAGAGAGATTTTGAAGTCACAGGTGTGTTTGAGAGAGCGTGTGTCTTAGGTGTACCTAAGACTATTCAGGCCAGGGGCTGGTTTCTGTTTCTTGTGACATACCATAATAGAATCGCTTGAACTGAGGCACGTGAACTGCCATACAATTCATTTGTTTTCCAGCTAGAGCAAGCTAGAGAATGAAATGAGGGAGAAATGGTAATTGTGAAGCTTAATGGTCTGCACCTGTTCACCTAAATCTTCTCAACCTAAAAATGGTGCCATTCAAAAATGCTAAATACGGTTCCATTCTGAAACAAAACCACGTGTTCCCATTCCCAGCTGAACAGTCCCACTGTAGGACTGCAGTGTGTGATGACAATATGCAGGCTTTGCCCAGATGGTCTTCTAAGAGGACAGCTGTAGTTGCAATTATGATAAAGCGAGAAGAAATGAGCGGTCCAGAGAGATGTTTTGTTCTGCAGTTTAAACAATGTGGTAATGCCAAGTTCAGTGCTGTCTTGTTGGCTCTCACAGGACGTCTCCCGTGCCAAGTTGGCAGCTATAATTCCAGACCCCGTGGTTGCACCGTCCATTGTGCCTGTTCTCAAAGATGAAGTTGACAGAAAACCCGAATATCCCAAACCAGACACTCAGCAGATGATTCCATTTCAGCCACGACACTTAGCACGTAAGTCAGAAGTTCAGTCAGCAGTGGCCGTAGTTTACCCAGCAACAGGCTATTAGCTGGGATGCTTAGCAAACCTAATCACACAGACTTCTTAGTCACACAAATTTGTACTTAAATTTTAGGCTATTGCTTAAGTGGATTGCTAAAGGCATGAATGTATGTTTTACCTACATCTAAGGTCGCATGAAAATAAGTATAAGTAGATTTTTTGTGTCTGGGAAGTGGTAATAACCTGTTACATACACTGCTCATAGACTTTAGGTCAGTAACTCAACCATATGTAATTAGTAATTAGGCAAAAGTAACAGAGTAGTAATTATCTGCACCTAATAATAGAGCTGTTAAAGCAATACAAGTCTTGCTGTCTTGCACTGGATTCACATACTTTTTCTTCCCACAGCTCCAGGTTTACATCCTGTACCAGGAGGTGTATTTCCTGTTCCACCAGCAGCTGTAGTCCTAATGAAGCTTCTGCCACCTCCTATTTGTTTTCAGGTGTGTTATAAGAGTTCTGAAAGCTTAAATTTGTAGAAGTTGTTCTAATTTGACAGAACCTCATTATATGTGAACTCTATTTGAAATATCTGTTTTTTGTTTTATTTTTTTAAAACAAATCAGGGTCCCTTTGTTCAAGTGGATGAGCTCATGGAGATATTTAGAAGATGCAAACTGCCAGACAGTAAGTCGTTTGTTCACTCTGCAGTCTGTGGTAGTGTGCATATGACTTCACTTTACATATGGATATTACTGTCTAAAATGCAGGCCTCCTTTAGAGCTGCAGATGTATAATTATTATGTAAGAGCATATTGTTGAATTGGCTGTGGTTGTAGGCTGGAATCAATCTAGAGATGTTTGTTCAACTGTGCAGGAAATCAACAAAAAAGTAAAAAAAAAAAAAAAAAAAAAAGCTGCAAATCACCAGCTGCTGCTTCAGTAACATTTTGGTGGTAAATATTAAAAGAAATTAAGATTTTCAGAATACCCCTTCAAAGGAAGTATGGGAATATATAGAGCAGCATAATAACTGTAATTAATTAAATTACAAATTTGCAGCATGGTTACAGATTACCCAGCAGCAAGATATTAATGAAATGCTAAATGCATTTAGCAAACCTGATTAGAGAAAATTCTCAGTCTTCGGTCATCTGAATCTGTGCCTTGGTCGATGCAACTCTGCCTGCACACTGAAGCAGTGCTTGAGAACAATTCAAGAACAATGTTTTTTTAGCTCATACAATGAAGGTAGCGTTCTGACATGTAAAAAGAGGACAGGTCTGTATGCTGGACTTCCATGGGAGATGATTCACATGGTGCTTTTCATTCCTCTGCTGGTTGAAGAAGCAAATGATCAAAGAGAAAGCTAGGATTTGCTTTCCGTTAAAGGGAAAATAAAACTCCTACTTAAATTATATATGGTATTTTTGGAGTTTTCTCTGTTCTTAACCAGAACCTGGCTTGCTGTGCATACTTGCTGATGAGTCATGAACTAGGGCTAGCATTGCCCCAGTTGGCCTTGCTATTTTATTAAGCTTCCAAGCTGAACTCAGTATGTGGATATGGAGGTCTCAAGCTGACGCAGCAGCATTTACTTCATAAGTAGTGCTTGCAACAGCTCCAAGTTTTAGGTAGTTAAGACTTAATTCTTAAGATGTTTGCTTGCACTGTTCTGCAAATGTTATCTTCCTGAAAGCTCCAGAATGACTCTATCTTGATGTCCCTGTTGACATGATTGTTAATTTTTATTCCAAAAACATGACTCAGCTTTGCTGAAACAGCTTTCTAATCAGGGGATTTGGTTTCACAAATTTAATCTCTTTCTCAAGCTGTTGATGAAGCTGTACGGATAATTACTGGAGGCCTACCTGAAATAGCTGTGGAAGGCAATGGACCTGTGGAAAACAATGCTATGCTCAATAAGGCTGTCAAGAGATCAAACGAGGATTCTGATGACGATGAGGAGAAAGGTTCAGTAGTTCCCCCCGTACACGACATTTACAGAGCACGACAACAAAAGAGAATCCGGTGAAACAAGCTTGGAGTTCTACTGTGACAAGGACTTGCGTTGAGTTTGTCAGTCTCTTAAATGTAACGCATTTAAAAGGGACAGCTGCAAAGAAAAAAAATCTTGAAAATGGTTTTGTTACTGTGGTGCCTCTCTTCTGTATGGTTCTTGACCCAAAAACAGACAGAACAATCTTAGAATGTGCTCTGAACAAAACTAGGTTTTCAAAACCAGAAGTGCAAAATGTCTAACTGCATTTTGTTCAAGGGTGTTCACATCTACCACTTGAAATCTTGTGGGTTTTCAGCAGTTTTATTTTAAAAACTGGATGGCTTATAATTGTGAAGCATTTTTAATTCACATTTTCTGGAAGACAGTTGTTCTCAGCTTGTCCATGTAGTGTCCTGCCTTACCGGTCGTTTTTATTTATGGCAGAATGTATGGAATCTGTTTTGTAGTTGAAAGTGGGAAAAAACATTCCTTTAAAATAAAAGGATATCGATAACATCATGCCTCATTCTGCTTTTATTCAAACACAACAAATTACTTTTTAAATACTACTCAGCAACTTTGAAAGCAATGTTACCAAGAATGAAAACCATCACAGGAAATTGATCAGAGTGTACACACAGGAATTAGCTTTCTTTTCAGTTTTTCTAGAGGAAACAGTATACCTTTACTTTGGATTCCAGGACTGTTTAAAGAAGACACCAGTGTAAGACAGACTAGTTACAGGTCTGTAAGTGGGCTGGCCAGGAGTACTAGCCACTGCAGTCTGTCCCTGGACACCTGCATTAGTCCTCCACTTAATAATGTACAAAGCTAAATGTTAATATATTAGCTACTGAGGTTAACTGGTTATTTTCAAATGAGCTAACAAAAAAAAAAAAGCCATATGAACTTTTGAAGCAGTTTCTATATATACTTTAGATTTTAACTTGTAATTGACTATTCAGGATTGTGCTCTCCTGAGGCAGTAAGAACACCCATACTGGCCAGGGAATTAAGGTATTCAGACAAGCTGAAGGACATTCCCACCACCAGCAGTAGAGATAACTGTAGGTCATTGTTCCTATCTACCAGACTAAGAAGATGGAACAGCACATGTATACCCATATAAATACTGACACAGAGGTAAGGTACATCAATCCTAGCTTTTTTTCTTTCTTGCTTTGTCACTTAATTACATCTGCCTATTGCTTTTAAAGACAATGCAGAGAAACTATTTGTCAAAATCATTAAAAAATGACCAGGGAAAAATCACCGATGTGATTTTTCATGGGAACCTCTTACAGTCTCTTTTAGATCGTTTCCTGTTGTCAGGCCTACTAAAGCTTAAAGAAACCAAGGCACTCCAGGTTTCCAGTGTGTAACCTCTGAAGGCAAGCCTGGCCCCAGGTGTGAGCATTGCACACCTATTTTTCCTATGCTAAGCCCTACTGAGAGAAGAGATGAACTTACTGGATATACCCTGTGAGCAACACACATGTATGAGCAGAGCACAATCTGTGCTTTGATGTCACAGCAAGCTGGAGTTGGTAGTGACAGGCTGGGAGCACTCAAGTAAGTACCATTTTATCCATCCATAACTCAGTCCCACTCCTTCTGCCATCAGTCACAGACTTTTTCATACACTTTTCTAACCACTGTGCTGTTCCTCCCCACATCCCTGAGACCAGCACCTAACAACATCCAACAACTTCTCCTATGCTTAGTTTGGAGGCCTTTAAAAGCAGCCTCTAGGGAATAATAAAATGTAAAATAACAGCAGTCAGTTCTAAGCTTCAGCAACTCTCAATTAAAAAAGGAAAACAGGTTTTTCTGTTTTGTATTGTTTTTTAAACTGCAAACATTATGTTACCCAGACTACTGAATTAATTTTTTGGAGCTGCAGAGCTAGAGCCTGTATTTCAAGATGGATTCTGGACTAATAACAAAGTACAGTAAGTAGCTGCAGAAACCTTGAAGACTGCTGTAGTATCCTTTGACCATACCAAAAACCCACTCTTTTTGTTGGCTAACCAACCTACTCCCTTTTGAGTTACCAAAGACATATGCAACGGCAGACATCCACACTGCCATTTGAGTAAACTTGGCCAAGGGAAAAGAAATCACTTGTCTGAGCTGTGATCTCTTACTACAGAGTTCTGTTATAGTGGTTTTTTTTTTTCCCCTTGGGAAATGCAGGGTTGTAATGAATGAGAAAAAAAAACCACATTATAGTTACACAGGCTAATACAGAACAAAAGCTCTTGCTTAACTACCTGCCTCTGAACTGAAAGTAGTTATGTCCCTGCTGGCATTCAGAAGAAAGACAGCAAAGAAAGCATCAACACTATTCATAATCAAGCGCTTTCTTCTAGATGGGCTGTTATTAATCAACTAGTCAACCAACATAAAATGAACCTGGATGTCTGCAATAAAAGGGCCACTTATTCATTTTACATAACTGGTTTTAGTTTTTTTTTTTTTTAGAGAAGACAACATTTTGTTTTGGATAAAATCCAGTGTTTTGGACGCTTGCTGCTTATAACTATGAACTTTGTTTTCCTAAATTCATCAAATTTTGATTACTATAATGGAGCACTGCGCTCAAGAGCTAGAGGAAAACTTGAACTGCACTTACCTCCTAGCTGAGTTTAAAACTGCAATAAGGCTGTAAGATCATTGAGCTCTTCTGTGAACACTCATCTATACAACACGTAACTAATGAAATTCAAGACCTCAAATATTTAAGGTTTTAAGATCACCTCTGCAATGTAAAAAAGAAAAAAATCTTCTATTGAAAATATTCCTTGTGTATTCAAACTAATATTAAATAATGCACTTCCCACCATAATTTAAATTCACTCACACCTCTAATAGTGCTCTGCACTTCTTAGATATCTTTGAAGACATGATTGAAAACGCAGCCATCTCAAGTCATAGTTTTAAAAAACAAGTAGAAGTTTTGCCCTAAAGTTTAACACACTTAAAATCCACCTTCTGTAAATGACACAGATTTACTTCAAAATTAGTATTTCACATAAAAAGGAGTAAACTACTAGCAAAAAAAAGGTAGGAAACGCCACTTTTATCAAAACATTTCAGCTCTGCCTTTCTGAAATCTTTACAGGAGATAAATACAGCTGCAATCTATAAGATTGCCACCTTGTTAAGTACTGTACAAAGCAGAGGACAGTTACCCAATAACCAGAAAATTTGCTACAAAAATATAGTGTGTTTTTGTAACATCTGCAGGTAAACAGCAAAAAAATGCTATTAAAAATGCAGAAAAATGTTGAAAGAAAAACTAGTAGCCTACCACACTAACCATAATGTTACAGTAAAGTGCTGTTTGGCTTTGTTTTTTGCCTGTTAAAGTTCCTCCTACCTAGGGTTTTAGCTTACTTAAGTCTTTAAAGTAAGATCTTTTTAAAAAGCCACATTACCCCTGCAGGGAAGGACCACTGCTAACCTGCTGTGAATGAGTGAAACTAAATTCATGATAAATGAGAATAAAAAGCCCTAAAATGAGCCACTTAAAAAACAGAGTTTGGTTGTTCAACTTTTCCTACATAGCACCTGCCTGGAAATCTTGCAGCCAGAAAACTACCACAACACTCCCTCACAAAAGTTGCATACTTACATTGAAAATGTATCTCTCCTTCATCATTTATCTCAGAACCCCTATTGCAATTCATGCGTTTTCCTCATCGGGCAGCACGGGTGATTTAAAAGGAAATAGTGTTCACATGGAGAGCTGTTTTCCTAGACAAATATTGGTGCAATTTTTCAAAATAGCTGATAAAATTAATACTGCATTGGTACACAAACTGTGTTCACAATTCTTCTGGCATCCCTACAAGTTGGGGTTCTTCCTTAGTCAGTATTTTGCCAAGAACAGCATCATAGTAAGGACTGAAGACCATCTTGTTGTAGTTGACAAGACGAACATACTTGATAGCAATCTCTTCCAGCTCTCTCTGAATAGGGCCTAATCCTCCAGGAACAGTCGGTACCGCTTTCTGGTGACTAGATGCAAGATAATTCTCCAGAAACTTCTGAATTCGAGAATCTGGAAAAGTTAGACCAAGAGTTTTGGTTTGTTTTCAGAAGAGACAGACAGCTAGAAAGATTCTAATCTCACGTAAAACACAGAGCACACCAAGCACATACTTGAAATAAATTAAAATAGAAACCATGCATGACGTGCCACTGACAGTTTTATAAATAGAGATACTTTGTCATGTGAGAACAGAGTATTTTTGTCAAAGCATACCTATTAGTTTACAGATGGTGTTATCAGGGTTGGCCACAGCTTGGATCTGTCCTTTCAGCACAGTTTCCTTCTCAGCTGTGAATGGTGCAAAGCCATGCTGGGAAAGGCAGCTATTGACTTCAGCACACACCTTCTCACCAATGGTAGCCAGAGACTCCTTCAGGTTAAAAGAGCTATGGAATATGGAGTAGAGCACTGCTTAGCTACTGGAGTTGTTCACATTTTCCCCATCTTTTGAAAATAAAGTATCCAATTACAACTGTCTTATTTATCAAACATAGTGGAAGAAAAATAATCCAGATAACGAAAGAATAATAAAATATATTTTATATACATGAAAATCATGTTGAGCTGTAACACAAGGAGATGAGATAGCATTAAAAAAAAAATCTCCAGCCTGTGCAATCCATACAAGTATGTGCTGATTTTCAGTCTACAGACATCTCAGAGTAACATGAAGAATAAATGTCAACCCACAGTGTGTACAGCAACCTCAATCTGTGGGCAGCTAAGTTGTGCCACACTCAGTCTCGATGGAGCCCAGCCAAAACTGTGAGCAGAGTTTGCTGCTTGTACACACACAGCTCTAAAGCCATTAGTTACTACTCCTAATTATCCATGACATCGGTTATTGACATGCATTTTATTTACTGCATTAAGCAGAATATCTAAAACAATACTAACACTGCACAGCTACACAAAATCAGCTCTAAGCTGGTATGGTAAGTAACACGATTTTAAAAAACAAGCATGCCATATCAAAAAGAACAGAGTGAAAACAGCTGGCTCTGTATCAGTAAGATAAATAAAAACTGTCAGCCTCAGCTAAGAAGAAGCCCCCATCGCTTCCTCCATGTATTCTACTCCACAACCAGAGTGAGGCTGAAACTGATTTTTTAGTGGAGTCATAATGAAACTACAGCTGACCATGTGAATAGGGCTACTCAGTACTCACGGAAGATGCATTCCTGTCAGCAGCACCTTGACAATGGTTTTGATTTTCTCAGCAAATCCAGGCACATCGATGAGAGCTGCACCTGCTGCACTGAACGTGACCAAAAGGACAGTCCCAGCCACGAGGAGCTGCTCCAGTTCCAGCTGTATTTCCTGAAAGCGGCTCTGGTCCATGAGCACTGTCTGCAGAGAACAGGAAAGCCAGCACAGGATGAGATCTGCACACTAGGCTGTGCAATGAAATGGAGATGCCAGCTAAGATAGTTCAGGTAACTCCGAGACCTTAACTCTTTCTCAGTATCTGCCAAAAGCAAATACCAAAAAAAGTCTCATTCAATTTAGGTGAGATGTCTAGTGAATAAGACAGTCATCAAAACTATGTACTAGGCTGAGAAAAGTTCAGCACAGAGGCTCTGAAGATCGGACTGGTTGATATCTAGCTGTCCTTTCCAGCCTAAATTATTCTCTGATCTGATCCTATGGATACAGTGTGGATTCTGACTAGTTCTTCTCCAGGAGGTTGGAAACACAAACACACATTTTAATATGTAATACACAATACCAGTCTATAGATACATTGCAATATTCTGCTTTGTGATAGCAAATACTACTCTGTTTGACCAAATCAGTCTCAGTGGACATGCTGACTCAGTGGCCAGACTCGAACACTTTTGAGAAAGCTGCAAGAAATTCACTGACGAACCATTACCAAATGAATTCCTGGGGAAAGGAAGAGCACTGCTGACATCACAGACATTCAAAATGAAGGGAGCTGGACAAGACTAGTGGTATATTCTCACACAGCTATTACATTAATTCTCAAGAAAAATGAATGTTTAAATAGTGCCTATATTCCAGCCTACAACTACTGCATTTATGTTGCAAGCAAGTTTTAATCTGACAAATCCTAAAAATTCATATTGGTAAGAAACAGTACGTGTTGAATAGTCTGAAATGGAATGCCTACAAAAACCTCTCAAATGGATTTGAAGGAACACAAAGATGATAAACTTTACTGCCTTGTTGTTTCTATAAACATGTTGCAAAAAAAAAAAAAAAAAAAGCCCTCCATATGGACAAGGAGCTGTTTATTTTTTCCCACCATGAGTTCCTGGCCCTTCTGCTCCAAAAAAAAAAAAAAAGACATGTAATCTCAGGAAATACCACATTCTACTGAATAACAGCCACCTTTACTTTCTCTCTGACAATGTGAAATTGACACAGCAGCCCCAATTCCAAGGGGGGCTGGAAAGATTTTGAACCAAGATCTAAATTCTACAGCACAAAGAGGAACAGCTGAATGATGATAAAGCACCGAAGAACCAACTTCTGTATCAGAGTTTGGAAACTATGATAGATGCTGGACCAGGAGGAACAGCTACCAAAACCACAGTTTCCATATTCACTGACTAATTGAAACGTCATTTACTCAAGAACTCCCTTAAACATTTTGTTTTTTCAGTTACTGTATTCTAGGGAAGGTGTTTGGTGCAAACTCATTAACAAGACCATTTTCACATTCAAAGGAGAGCTGAGGGCTGTAGGCATGGAGGAAGTACAGCCCAGTGCCATGCAACCCAGGGACACCCAGAGTTCTGTCCTACCTCAGGCAACTTCCATGAATCAATAAGCTATCGGGAGGAGGTACAGACACAGAAAAGAGCAGCAGCTACTCAGCAGGAAAATATCAGGAGCAAAAGGGAAACAACTGTTTCTTTTTCAACTAAGTTTCAATACTGAAAAAGAAATACCATAAGAACTTTCAATCAGGAGATCGATGTTTTAGTGCTGTAAATTCAGTTTGCTACATTCCAAGAGCAGAAAAGTAGTAGAACAAGCATGCAAATCATTTTTCCTGTTAGATACCTACTTCTGGGAAAGGCCTGTTTGTGTGATCCCACTTCAGCAGCTTCAGATACGCCTGATTCTGTATGGCAGTGGAGCACAACACAGAAGCTCCGCCAGCAGCACCAACAGCACTGCTGGAGGGAGGTAACTTTTTATATCTCAGCTTTGCAAGATCATCTGCTGCTTCCTGCAACCAGTCTGTGACAAGGTCTAAAGAATCTGTAGGAGATAAAAAGTCTTGTTAAGGAAATTCCTTTTCAAAGTTAGTTTTTTCTATTGCTAGTTTTCAGATAAAGCCATTAGTTACTACTCCTAATTATCCATGATACCAGCTATTGACATGCATCTTATTTACTGCATTAAGCAGAACAACTAAAACAATATTAACACTGCACAGCTACACAAAATCAAAAGTGAGAAGATGCTATGATGCCCCTCATCATACTGAAACAAAACTAACTGCCACGTACTAAGCACAGATCTATTGTTTCTGTACACTGTTCTCAAACCTCAGTTTCGGGGCACAAGCTGTCATTTACCATATGAATTATATCAAAATTAATATTAAATCTGATTTATTTCTATGATCTACAAACAAAGGCACACCATTTACTGAGAGGTCAGAGGAGAAAAAAGAAAGGAACAAAGTCATACTTGGCTGTTTCTCAAGAAACTCCTGAAACTTCTTTCTTTCATATTCAGCAGACTGCTGCATTAATTTTGGCCTAATACTACTGACAGCGAAGTTTGCCATATCCATTTTCATTAGGTCTAATACAGAGAAAATTGCTCTAAACAAACAAACAGAAAAAGTTATTCAAGGCTGCAGAAGTTTAAGAGGTTATATGTACAAGATTTATTGCAGATTGCCTAAGGAAAGAGCAAAAACATGCATGGGAAACATTAACAGGATGGTTAAGAGACAGAAAAAAAAAGTTTGAGCAAGTACGCGTGCACATGCATGTGCATCTCCCAAATACAAAACAAAACTTGTTCTCCTGAAGAAAGGTCTCCACAGAATTAACTTCACTAGCCCCATAGGATAAATTCCCCAAATTTTACAATGTCATAAGCTGAATAGACAAAAAGATGTTTGAATTTCCAAGCTTGCACACTATCTGTTGGCTGCCTATATAGCCAGCCTCAGTGGGAAGCAAATAATTAGACCCAAGGAAAACAAAACCAAACCCCCTTAATTTCAAAGCAACATGCTTCCTGCTGGCAGTGTTTCTGCCAAGTCAAACCTTAACTCTTGGAAGGTTATCAAATTAGAAAACAAGGTTAATAAGATTTCCTCAAACTATCAGCTCGAGCTATTCAGCTGAGAACACAGTGAGGAAGCAGATACCTCTATGCTCCCAAGTCCAGGATGTACGCTCCTGGTAGAACTAAAGCGTGTTATACTGGGGGGAGACAGCTCAGACTGAGGGGTAAGGAAGAATTGGCTAAAGAACAGTGATATGTATCCCCTATTCCCACAACTGCTTTTTCTTCCCCTCCTGCTGTTGATAATAAATCCTGATACAAACTGACCGCTCACCTGTTATCTGATGGTTTACACACATTTGGCATTTAGAAAACATCCTTTGCTAACGTGCTGGAGCCAGACAAATACAGTTCACCCAAACAGGAAGGGTCCTTGTTAAAAACTCCTGGCACATCTCTCCCCCATCACACCCATGACCATATCCCTGCTCAGCTCTTTCATTTCTATGAACATTTGCAGGTTGCCCTGACAGAAACACCCCCCACACCACGCATCTCTAAAATTATTTAAAGGACACTCAGTATGACTAACATGTACCATTTCAGTACCTGAAGAGAGGAACTATTTCACGTATATCTTTCAGTTTCTTAATTTCTTCATCTCGAGCTGGAGCACAGAGAGTTCCCATCATTCCAATAACAAATTCTACCAACTTAGCAATGTCCAGAGCCCCATTTTCTGCCTCCTGTTTTATCAAATCCAGATCAAGAACTTCCATAATCTGGTTTCTTAATCTTGTATGACCAGGCAATAAAAAAGACAGAAGATTCTGAAACAGAAAGTTTTTAACAGAGTATTAGTTCTCAGTGTCAAACACGGCAGGGATCAAAGCAGTTATTGCACCACTTCTCATTTAAACTAACTGCCATCTGAAAGTGGAATTGTATTTTTCTGAGCAAGGCCATGAAGTCATTTGTCAGCTCCAAATTCAAATGTCTCCCCTCATTCCTTGTGACATGAAGTCACTAAATGGTAAATGCTTTGCAGTACTGTCCATACTTCAGACTATTGCACTTGGCTTTGTCAACCCAGTGTCAGGACATCTCAGTGATTCCGTACCCAGTGATTCTGTCATAATGTGGAGGAAACGTGGAACTATGAAACCCACCTTGATTCATTTTACATGCTTTCCCATTTATTTGTACATTCAAGTTGCTCTCCTCGGCCTATACAACTTACTTATGTGCAGAGAAAATTAGACAGTAATGAAAAAGATCAAGAGCCTCCCTTATGAACAACCAAACTTCTAACTCCTTTTGCCCATTCCCATCAACACATCTATAAAAATTCAATAATTTACTTTGGCAGCATGTGACCTTACCTCTTTAATTTCTCCCAGCAGTTTAATTGCGTGGTCATATGTCGGTGGATCTTCCTTCAGCTGAGCTTCCAAACAATCCCAGAAAGCTTTGTGCACAATCTCTCTTACTTTTTTTTCCAAGCTGTGGGTAAATAAGACCAGTTCAAAATAACTATATTAGTCTCTGCACCACCACGTGCAGATACCTGCAGCTCCCAAAGAATAGCATGCAATAATGTGAAGATAATGTAATGGTGCTATTTGAGGACTGACAGAGAAGAAAACTATCATTTTGTCACTCAGGCACACGATTTGGCATGGCTCATACCCTAATAAATGGTTACACACAAGCAAAGAAGGCTTCCAATTAAAATCCTTGAAAGTACCTCTGAAGTATACCGCTGGAGTAATAATAAAAAAAGATAAAAATTATACCTCATCTTCAAAAGAACAGTATTAACATTCCTTTGACTAAGGAAAATTCATTAAGGAAACATAACAGAAATGAAGCAACTTCCGTGACATGAAAGCTTTTGCACTTCAACACATAAATATGGCCATTACTCCGAGTTAAAGGCTCAGTTCAGTTTCTATAAACAATAAACAAATTCCAACTGCTTTCTCCTCAAACCACTTCCCTACACGTACATTCAAGCTGTGGGAGACACCAAACTACACATGAACACAAAAAAGCAATTAATCCAAGGAAGATTCCAGAGTGCCTCTTCAGCCAAAACCTTCACTAAACAGAGGGATCTTGTACGAGGAGCAGTCCTGGCAGATCACTAAGCTGAGGCACTCTTGGTAAGACAATCTCTGTAATGTATCTGTTTCTTTGATCTGGTGAAGAGATGCAAATCTGACACCGTGCTGAACAACTGCAGCCACTGTTCAGAATCTGTGAGAAAAGCAACCAAGTTACTGAAGAACTGGGTTGGTTCTTTCCCCTGACCCCCCTTTTTTAAGGGAGGTGGAGAGAAGAACACATGAAAAGAAGAAAATTTGTTTAAAGTTCTTCTCCCCTGAAAAATGTTGAGATAAATTTCATGGTACTGAGGCATACCAGAAAACTTATGCACCATCACTGCCCATTTCCAAGTGAGAAAACCGTAAGAAGGAACAAGGAACAAAAGCTGAATTGAAAAGCACTGTTTTAACTGTGGCATTTTACATAAAGTATTTATCAACAGCCATCAAATACAAGCAGAAGACACCTGTCAGAAATTCCCCCAGAAGATGCTGAGACAGAAGATAACACAAAACAGGGAGCTCTGCATGCCTTAAGTATGCCTTCCAAACTCTTCCTTTATAGCATACAGAAAGGTTCCAGCTCGTGGGACCATGCATGAGTTGTACACAACCTGTATGAAATGTGACAAACAATGACTGGACAATAGTGCCCGAGTCTGTGATGGTGCAAAGAACACAGATCAAATCTGAACTTTAAAATATGAGTCTCTCAAAAGTGGAGTAGCTAGGACACTCATAGACAATGCTGTTCCAGTGTGGACCAAATCTCTCCCAGTAAAAACACCCTCACTTTCACAAATTAATCCAACAAACACAGTGTCAGCCACATCTCTCTGTATGGGGAGAAAAACAAAGCAAACAAAAAAACACACAACAGAACAGCAGACAAAGCATCTGTCAATAGGACTGGGTTTGCTGCACTGGGCAGTCTGTGACCAGACATCAAAGCTACTTCTGTTCTGCCTCTCCTAGTGGGGGACAGAACTACTGCAGCTCAGACAGGAGGAAAGACTTCAGACTAAAAAGGAATAAGGCCTAATCTAATAAAATATAGAAGTCTCTTTAAAATACATATATGTGTATCCCTGGAGAAACAGACATTAGATTAAAAAAAGAAAAGAAAAGCTAAAATGATCAGTTTCATCTTATTCCCATCTGCAGTGAAAGCTTAAGTGATGCTAAGAGCACTACCTGCACCTGCAGCTAGACTTGCATATTTAAAAGCCTGCAGCCTCAGGCTCCTAGGATAAGGGGACGCTGGCAGAAACCATACTGCAGTTTCCACAAAACATGCCCCAACAATTACTGCAGGAGTTTCACTTTTCACATTCACACATTTCCGAGGAAACAGAACTGTATGCTTACCTTCTCATGCTTCTTCCTAAATATTCCCTAGCAGGCACTGTCAGGCAGAACTAGCTGGAGCCTTTATTTCATCCACTACAGTTATTCTAAAGTTATACAAATGAGAATTTGTTTCACATATCTAGTTGGTAACAATCTTACCTGTGTTCTGGTAACTCAGCTGGTTTGATCTGAAAGTCTCCATTAACAACAATTTCGTGTGCTAGTGCCATGTTGGTTACTCCCTTAGCTGTTTCCATTAACTCTTCCACTGACACAGGCCGAGGAGGGCTAGCTGCAACATACATTAAACTGTCAGACAATTATCTAGGAAAATCTGCAGAGAAGAGCCTGCTGATAACAACCATCTGAAGAAACAAACAAAAAGCCCCAAAATATTTCTTTTGAATTGCTTAACTGCATCTCTCTCTGCACACTAGGAAGAGATCATAAAAAGACTGCGTTGTCACTGCACTATTCCTCTAATTACTGTGTAGACGTTGCCATTTTGACTTCATGTTTTTCAAGGAAGTGACTTTATTTCTAAACCAGCCAGCAAACAAGCCACCATTGACGTTAAGCAATAATTACTCCCTCTGCTTTCAGTGTGACTGGCACTTCTCCAGCCCCCTTTTTTTCCCCCCACGAGGTCACCATCTAAGTGACAAAAGATGTCAAGGCCTAGCCCCAACACTGATACCAACAATTTCTTCCTACGGCAGCTATTAGGATAAGAATGGACAAGCAGATTCAAACTGGGCCCTGGAGGACACAGGTGAGCAGAAGGAAGCATCACACCTGAAAAAACCAGGTCAGCTTCCACGAGGTAGGAGACAAAGGAAGCGGCCAACTAGAATAGCCTGGAAAGTCAAAAGACAGACAGTGACACTGACAAAGGAGAAGGCTAAATTACTGGTGTCCTCGAGCGAGGCAGGCAAGAATAGCAAGGTTCATCTCTGCTCCTCCAGAAAACGCATAGCTGAGCAGGAGGGAAACGCCCCTACAGAACTGCTACAGTTGAATTGCTTCCTCTCTCTCTAATTCATTCACTTCAACTGCAGTACAAGCACAGGAGCAATGTATTAATTCCCAGCATGAAAGAAACCAACCAGGCTGGGTTTACTGAGATGTTTTAGAAAAACCAGCACGGCTGCCTCATTTGATGACCCAGTTTGATTGGACTTAAACTAGTAATATAGAAAAGGTCTTTTAAAACTAACTGTCATTCAGTTGGCTGCCTTTCAAAGCTGTTCCAAGTACATACAGCATAGTTCCAAGAATACATGCAGTGTTCTAATTTTTCATTACCATCTCACTCTTTCATGCAGCACTCTCAAACCCAGATTTCCTTCTGCCTGGAGGTATATCTTGCACAGTGACTCTGGGAACACAGCAAGGATTGACATCCAGAGAATTACCAGCAGCACAGCAAGCTTACAGCTGAATGAGTGCTCTCCTGTCCAGCTGCCAAATGACTTCACCCAGCAGACACACTCAAAGCAAAGAGACTCTTTCATTTACCAAAGAATGCTCTTAAATCATGTTACTTCATTCTCGTATTATATCTGCTCCCTTCCAAGAGAAAAGGGCTTGAGACCAATGACTTTTCTGTGGTACAATGGAAGGCAAGACAAGGCAATGCGTTTCACTTTCACATGTCCATAGTCTTCCTCCATAGAGTACATCTCCTGTGTGTAACATGACACTAAGGAAAACATTAAACTCAAGTAATAATGAACACTGTTGCAATAAAAAAAATAATGCAACAAATAAAATGTTACATCCTGGGACTCTCCCGACAGAAATCTGGGGCTAGTTATGTGAGCAATTCCGTCCCTTTGATCTCAATCTCTGGAACCAAATAAACTTCCCCTTCATTTTATCTACAGATTTGCCAGAAGCAATTAGAGATCTTGCATCTAGTTTCTGATGTTAAAAGCAGAACAACAAAGAAAACCATGCCCTAGGAATAAACCTGCGGTATGACAGTCCTGACATCTCCTTGTCAGTAGAAGTAGCATTAGGATTAAAAATGCAACTTTCCACCTGTGTGTGACTGGATAAGAGGGGAATAAAATGACAGGGCACGATTTTGTTGATGATGGGCTTCCCTGCCCTCTGGCAGAAACAGAGGCTGCAACAATCCAGAAGGTTTGGCTGATAATGCAAACACAGCATCAGTTTGGCTACAGTATACTGGAGTAGGGCTTATCCTTTCTGTGAGTGCAGACACAGAAAGATCTAAGACATATGTGGCTCAGAATAATGTGGTTATTGTTAACAATTAAGTGCTAAAACAAAATGGAGGAAAAAGCACGTGTTAAAAGCCACTTCAAAGCAAATGATCAAGAGTTGTATAATATTTAATTGCAAAACAGTCAAACTTACAGAGAATTCTATAAAACCCCATCATCATCTCCACTGCAGAAGACACAGAATTGTACTTTTTTTTTTTTTTAAAAAAGGGCAGTTTTGCTTACACTTTGGTGTATCATCTCTACGTGAGCCTGGAACACTCTGTCGTATTCTCTTCCTGACAGACTGCTCCGAGTTGTCCAAGCTCTCTTCATCATCCTCCAAAGCACTCAACTTTTCTTCGCTTGAATGCGGCTTGTGGGGATTCTGAGACATTTTCAGTTGTTTCTTCTCAGAAAAAAAAAAAAAAAAAAAAGATTAAAAAGGGAATGAAAATGAATAAGCATTTTATAACATATAAGGGTTTATAACATGGCTGAGTGAGAAAACGTCTTCAGTTCTCTTGACTGAGAAAAAAATTGAGAATAAAAGAAATCTTATGAGGAGTTACATGATGTCATTCCCATAATGGACCTGGACTAAATGACTCACTTCCCATCTCACACAGAAAGAGATGCTTTCAACACAGCTACCGTTCACTTGATCTGTATTCCAAGTGAGTTCTGAAAAACCTGGAACTCTTCCCCTGCCTTACCTACTGCATAAAGATGTGATAGAAAAAGATACTGAATGAGCAGTGAAAAACATCTTCTAAGCAGTATTACAAACATGTTTTGCAAAAAAGATCATGCCAAATGAGGTATTTCCCTATCATACAGAGACAGTGAAGCATTCTGAACACAACACCCTCCTGAACTGTGATCTGTTCCAACCAATCAGAACTTAAATTCCCTCACTCCATGCTACCCAAGTGAATTAAGAAGCTGAAAAAGCACTAGGGGCAAATATCAAATCATTCTCCTGCAATTCCATTCCATGCAAGAGTCATGGTGATGCATGCTGGTGATACAAGGAAGATTTCTTTAAAAAAAAAAACAAAAAAAGATAAATAGTAAATAACAGTAACAATAATTAAAACACGGGCACACTAGATGCTAAATAATGTTTATATTACATCACAAGTACTTGCATCATAGTCAACAATGCACTGAAAAACTGAACACTGGAAAAGCACGTTATCTTCACTTGGTTTACAGTCAGAACTAATCTGCTTGTCTTACCACTGAAAACTCAGTATTATACAGGAGGCTACCATTCTGACTTTGATTTTAGGAAAGGCTGTTTGACAGCATATGAGCTCTCTGGAGTAGAATCAGGAAAAGTCTTCCAAAAAAAGGGAGCTCCTGGGAAAACACCACCTTCCTGTCACCAGCTTCCTACTTCTCCAGCAACCACCACTTTCCAAACATGAAAGAAAGAACTCTCAGCAAGAGATGCAGCTTCCAAAGGCACCTCGCAGCTACTAGAACACTTAGCAGTGTCAAGGACTGCATTGAAGAGGACGCAACACAGCCATAAACAAGCAATCACACAGGAATACGAAACGCACAGACTTTTTTTCTCCGTACAGCAGCTGTAATAACTAACCCTACTCCATCAGTGCTTCAGTGAGTGCACCACTGTGATCCTACAAGACAGCCAGAAGACTTGGCATTTAAAAAATGTTTTCCTTCTACAGCAATGACTCAGGATCATCATCTGGCTAGACGTACAAGACACACAGCAACACTTGCCTACAGTGATGCACGATTTTTATTTTTGACAAGAAAGTGGAGCACAAAAAGCTAGGATAAATCTACGGAAGAAAAGTAAGGCATCAGAGCAGGTACTGTTGGACCCTCACAGCAGCCCCCTGCTGTGGCTCAGGCACACAAGCACTCAGCCCCAGCGCGGAGCCCCCTGCCCTCCCCGCACTCACAGAGCAGCTCCGGCGGCGTAGCGCAGTGCCAGCGAGCGCAGAGCTGCGCTCCCATCGCCGCCCTTTATCTAAAGCACGCTGTGCTTCCCCCTGGGCGCAACACCAGCCATCCAAAGCAGCACAGCACGAGCGGGGCTGGATCTCCAGCCTACAGAACAGAAGGTCTGCTACTCTGCTACTGCCAGCAGCAAGATCTGGCAATAAAGGAGCCATTACAGGGAGAGATAACGGCAACAGCTGAAACAAAAAGCTTAATACGTGACAGGTGAACGAGAGGAGAGAGAAGCTGGGACCAAAGCGTTTTCATGGAGGTTTCAGTTTCGTTCAGCTGGCCTCGGTCACTCTTCCCGCTCCCACAAGGCGCGAAACGGAGACGTGCAGCACGGCGATGACTCGACTCTTCAGCAACCGGCCCAGAGCCCAGCGCCCAGCGCCCAGCGCCCAGCGCAGCGCTCCCCGCGCCGGCCTTCGCGGCAGGGCAGGGCCGGGAGCTGCGGGAGCCCTGCCGGCCCGCAGGCGGTGGTGACGGCCGCCAGCCCTGCCGCCGGGCCGCGGCTTCTCCCGCGCAGCTGCAGCTTACATAGCGGCGCAAGCCAACGGCTCTGCTCGGACTGCCGAAAACCGACCGTGCGGACGCGCGGCGCCCTGCCCAGCGGCGGGCAGCGGGCGGGACGCCGGGCGGCAGCGCCGCGCTCGGCAGCCCCACTTGTTGGCTCAGCTCTCGCCGCGCGGCGCTCCGTGCGCTGCCATTGTTCGCCACACGGCGCACATCAGCGAGGCCCGCGGCGCCCGTCCGGCGGCACGGCTCTCAGGGCGCGCGAACGGCTCCGCGGCGCGGCGTCCTCCGGCGCTAAGCGCGGCCCGAGGCGCGAGCGATCGCCTCCGGCAGCCCGCGGGCGGCGCGCGGCCCGGCGCCGTCCTCTCCCCCTCTCACTCCTCCCTCCCGGCCCAGCGGCCCCGCTTTCCCGCCCCGCTCGGCCCCCCGGCCCCGCACCGCGCTCTCCGCCCCGCCGCCTTACCGCCGACCCCGCCGCGCCGCCGCCACAGCGCAGGGGCGGGCCGGGCCTCCGGCAGCCTCTCGCCCTGCGGCCGCCCCGAGCCGGCAGCCCCGCGCCCCGCCCCGCCCCGCGCGCTGTGCTGCCGGCTGCTCGCGCCGCGCGCTTCTCACACTCGCGGCTGGCAGCGCTGCCCGCGTGCGCCAGGCCTACGCACAAGGAAATCCGAAGGCCTTTCGTTTGTTCCAGCTCTCTGCTAATTAGCACGGGTAAGGAGAAGCAAGGCGCTGCAGGAAGGAAGGCGCTGGCTGCAGACGTTAGGGCTGTGGCAACTGAAGCCAGACTGATGAAAATGCAGCGTTTTCACAGCCCAGCTCGGTCAGCAGGGCACAGAGCGGGGTTCGGCTGGGGAAAGATGTCAGACATCTTCCCTGGCGCTGCCTCAGCGTGGTGCCATTTTAGTCTAAAGCAGCTAAGTGGTTTGTCACATACACACGCAGGATGGCAGGTGTCAAGCCTGAAGAAAAGCAGGGGTGTAAAGCAGAAGATGTTACTTCAGCTCTGTGCACGACACAAACCATGGGGCACAGAGCAGCACAAGGCAGTTTAGCTACAAGGCCAGCAAAGGGGAGCAGGGGCTGCAGGAATGGAATGTTGTTTCTGGGTTAGATATTGAAAAGGGGGAATTGAGCTGAAGAAATAGAGTGCAATGCATTTGTATTTTGTAACTTGTCCTTAGAAGTAGCTGATGCAAAGAAGTAGAAATACCATATATACTAGTAATATACTTTAGAAATATAGTCACTGAATTATGTGATTAATTCTCGCTTGCAAAACTGCAATGGCTTTTAAGTGTTCCAAATAGTATAGGTATAGTATTATAGACTAGAAAGCATAGTGTAGAGCTATTCTGTTTTTCTTTCACTGAGGGTCTCTTATCCAAACAGACTTAACAAATATCAAAGAAGCCAGGGCCTCCACACAAGGCTGGATTTCCTAGGATGTAAGAGGTAGACATGAAGATACTCCCCTCTACCCTCCTCCCAAGCTTTTATCTCTATGCAAAGACAAGCAGATGCCCAGAAACACACACTGAGTGTTGAATGAGCAGATGTGAGAAGTTAACTAATTAGCAATATACTCTTAGCTAGCAAAAATTTGTTTATCCAGTATCCGTATGTTGAGTTGAGCATCAGGAAGATTGTGAACCTGAAGTACTCAGCCAATGAGGAACCAGGGGAGAAAGAGATCAGTGTTGAGTAATAGGGCATAAAAGACGTAACACTGTTTTCTGTGTGCTCTCCTGCTTGCAGGAGGCCCACCACTGCAATGCAAATAAAATCTGCTTTATCAGAGATATCATCCTGATAAATTATTTGGAGATTTCCAATAGGACCAGACCTGGTCAGCTTACAGTTCACTATCCAGAAAAGAAGAGATCCCAGCCCTGAAAAGGTGTTTCCCATTTTAACACTTCCATAGAAGTAGTCAATCCAAGTGGCTTCAAGTGAGGAGAAGAATAAAGGAGTGTTGGGGCCCTACAGCAACTAAGATTGAGCAAAGAACCTATAAAGTACAGGCCAAACCTGGGTACCACTGGCTTCAGTAATAATTTAATTGCATAAATCCCATCAATATCCATAAAATAACTTTATTAGATACATGAATACAAATGATTTACAAATATATTAGTGTTTTCAATACTGCAATATAGAAAGTAATTTAAAAGTCACACGCACATATCACTAACTCTGTCTCCAAAATACTGCATAAAAATACTTGGATTACTACTATGAAACTGACCTAGCAGTCTCTTTTTCTCTTTGTCAGAGAGCTTTGAATCTTCATCAATAGCTTTCAGCAGAGATAACAGCTCATCTTTTGTGGTCTTCTCTGTATTCAAACGATACTCTCTTTCATCAAGCTTTTGGCAAAATGTGTAACCTAGAAGGAAACATGAAGCACGAAGATGATTAACATCAGCTGACCACCTTCCTTAAGAAGGAAATCTGTCTAGTCATTGTTACAGCAAGTATTTTTAACTCAGCTCAGTCCCTTTTACTTTGCATCTGTGTACATGATAAGAAATTCAGTTTACACTCACCTGTTATCTTACTAGGATCTTGGCCTTCCTGCAAAGCCACTAGTTTATTGCTGACCATTTTATGCAGTGTCCCTGGGATCTTCAATAAAGACAACAAACAGCAGGTTAGAGAAAGCAATTCTGCACAAGCATATGAAATAAAAATCTGGTCATTGTCCAGCTCTTACCTTTAACACATCTTTTTGGTGGTCCACGAGGAACAAGATTAGAAGATCAGTTTTCCCTCTGGATAAGGATTTGTTGTTGATAATAGCTTTAGAGAATGTTCTTTTCACAACCATCCTGTTGTCACTCTGAAGAATAACATGGAAAAAAAATGGGAAGGCTTTGCTCTTCTAGAATGCTCTTCCTTGTAGCCACATGTGCTTTCTGACCTATTATCTGGGATATCTAGATTTCAGTAAATGTAAAGCAACTGATAACAATTAAGTAGGCACATTTACCTCCTTCTGTAGCTTGAGTTCAGAATTATGGGCAGCAACAGCCATAAAATACAGCAATCTTCTGAACTCCTCCCTGATTTGACTGTCTAGAAGTTTTAAATAGAGTTGAATAGCTTCTAGAGATTGTTCCATCTTCCCATTCACTGAAAGGAAATAACAGTATATGTAAAAATAAAATATGGCAATAGATGAAACACCTGAATTGGACACCGAAGAGTTCACTTCTCTAAACAAAAGAATGAGGAGAATGAAAAAAAAATCCATTCTCACAAAGCTCTCACAGGCACACAATCTAGAGAGCAGCCCACCCCCAAACTTTTAGCCCAGTATTTAAGTTGGTGCACTTCCAGTTAAGCTCAATTACAGTTGAAACTCCATTATTGTGACTGAAATACTGAAAAAGGAAAAGTGTTCTGTTAGGCGAGAAGTGTCTCATTATAGAAATAATCTCCCAAGAAATATGGAGAATATCCTAGATAAATGGGCTAGTGTGATGAACTAGTTGCAAACCATTCCGTAAAGCATTGCTGAGTTTTAATTTAATTGGCTGAGGTAGAAATTTTAGCTGTATCTATTTAAAATTGCACTCACTTTTTCTTTACTAGGTAGACAGGAACAACAGAATATAATTGCAAGATATTCCCATCAACACAAAACATTTTCTTTATGATCAGATTAAAAAAAAACTCTGTATAAGGCAAGCTTCGGGCTTGGCTGACATAAAGATGCTCAGCTTGTTAGTACCCACCTCACATAAGCTCAGTAAGTCAATTTTTACTCACCTAGTAGTTCTGCAATTCCTGAGTGAATTTCAGGTGCATGGCTCAACAGCGGCTCCTTTTTCTGGCCATAGTATCTACCAATATTTTCAAACAGCAGTAGTTTCCATGTGTCAGCTTTATCCAGTTGATCAGGCAAGTTCCTGCTGATGTCTACCACCATATGATCAGGAAGATATTCCAAGCAATCTATTGCTGATGAGAGCCATTCATCTGTTCTAAAAGACAAAGCGGTTGAACTCTGTAGTATTACTTACTGGTGCCTCTCGAGGTGGTTGGGCTCTATCACAGAAGTGAGTAGACCAGTTTCTCAGTCAGGGGGCACTATATGGGTAAGTACTTGAACTCATTACAGTCTGCCACAAATAACACTTCTCCTGACCCACTCGCATCACAGCCACACGTCCCTTTGTTTAGCTGGGCAGGTTACTAATTACTCAACTTGATTAAATGATAACAGTCAAAAGCAGTTAAACCTAAAGTTAGTGACGTCCTCTACTGTTATAGACAAGGACAAAATTACTGCTAGATAAACAGAAACCTGAGCCTTGATCTGATTCCAAGTGGCAAGGTTTTTCAGCCTGTACTTCTAAATGTATTTATACAGTTTCAGGATCAGCTTTCTTTCACTATTTTGAAAAGGCTAAAATGCTAAACCATCCTCTCACTCATCCTGTTTGTTGTTTTATATTTTCTTTTTTTTTTTTAAAGGAAAAAAAACTGTTCTAGATGATAGCAAAATACTGTCATCGTCGTCCCCCCCCACCCCAGCATTAAACACATCTCCCTCTAAATGCTATCAAATCCTATAACAGTCTTCAAAAACTCTTCCAGTGTGCAACAGAATTTGCTTCCAATTCAATTTAGCAACTGCTCTTTACTACTGAATCCAGTTTAACAGGCAAAAAGGATGTGAACAGGCACACTCACCTACAGTACTGCAGACTATTACTTTTCTATGCAAGATTGACTGTGACTTACATATATACGTATGCAACTTTGAAAAACTTTCTGTCCTGGGAG